ACCACCACCACTACTACTACTACTACTACCACTTCTACTACTACTACTACTACTACCACCACCACCACTACTACTACTACTACTACCACCACCACTACTACTACTGCTACCATTATGACTTCTACTACTACTACTACCACCACTACTACTACCACTACTACTAATACTACCACTACTAGTACCACCACTACTACCACCACTACTACTATTACTAGTGGTGAAATGGTTCCTCAGATTGATGTATAATGTGTTGTATATGGTTCTGTGTAGAACCTTTATGAATCGGGAAACACGTTCTCCATCAATCTGAAGAACATTTCAAAATGCAAAGGAACATTTAAGCACGCAAATGGTTCTTTGAGTGTTCGTGTTTCAATATAGAACCAATGGGCCTCATTCACCAACCGTTCTTAAGAAGAAAATCCTTCTTAAACCCACTTACTTAGATTCTGACGTTCACCAATATTTTCTTATGTGGGATTTGTTCTTAGGTTAGCACAGAATCTACACACACTCCTCAAGAGCACAAAGGTGAGAACAGTTCTGCACTTTAAGAACACGTCATGAATCTGACGTAGACCTTTTCTTAGGACCTTTCTCAAGAACACTTTTAAGAACAGACTTAGGAAGAGACTGGAGAATGAGGCCCAATGTTCTTTATCAGCAGGTTATGAGAAAGTCAGGAAAGCCAAAGCTACATAAGTTGCGACAAACATGAAATTAGGGCCTTTTTTTAAGAGAAAATTATGTCATTAAGGAATTTATGGTTAAAAATCAGTGTGATGGAAACAAGCTGCTCAGTAGCAGAAATCGCAAATAATTTTTTTATGCATATGCATGCGGCTCTTTATTTTATTTACCAGAAGCCTTCGGAGTTAGTAAGGCCTCATCCCATTTCTTATTTTTACCCCGACCCCTTGTTTTCGAGTGTCAGCTTGCCCCTTGGAACTGAGTTACAGGGAAGTGGTTGAAATCTTCCCTATAAAATGGGACCCTCAAATAAAAAGAGCATCACTTCATTAACAGCTACCAGCGCTGCTCTGTAGGCGACCCTGCCAGTCTGCAGTGATAGCAGAGGAGGGTAAAGTTCAGCAGCCTTACATTTAGCGCATCATACACCTTCAACGTGAAGTCAGATATTCTCCAGCTTCTCATTCGAATTTTCCCATTCCACTTTAAATGTGGCAGCAGTTACATTCTGGCGCTTCAAGCATCAGAACTGCTGGACTATTTAAGGTGGAACGGGAAAGTTAGCCAGCTGGCTACCGAGACATTAGCATACTATTAGCAATTTTTATGCTTGTGATGAAGAAAACGACCATAATACAGTGAAACGACATTAAACTAAGATAAAACAGTGGTTATAGTAATTTTTTTCTCATATCACTCTGTTTGGAGTCTGCCTGTGAAAATCCTCTGTTTGGAGAGTCATGTAGCCCCAACACTTCACCCAACCCCTCTATCTCAACAAGAATCGGGACACCCTACCCCTAGACATGAACGCGCAAAACAGAGGGGTAGGGCTGAGTGGTAGCGGAGAGGGGGAAATGGGATTGGGCCTAAATGTGTATGCATGTGTGGTTAAAATGTCAGTACCTTTTCCAAATGCTCCATTGGGCAGGTCAAACGCTTGAATCTGCAAAGAGACGAGCTTCAGTCTCAGGCTGTCAGCCAGAATGAGGGATGTGTCAGACTTGCACATGAAGCTCTTGCCAGTGTTGGTTTTGAAAAGCTTCTCGTGGTCCATAATTCCAGGATAGGTTTTGCCTGAGAAGCAGAAATATATTACTACTACTACATATTACTAATACTACTATTACCACTACAACTTCTACCACCACCACTACTAATACTACCACTACTACCACCACTACTACTACTACTACTACTACTACCACCACTACTACTACTACCACCACCACCACCACTACTACTACTACTACTACTACTACTACTACTACCACCACCACTACTACTACTACTACCACCACCACCACCACTACTACTATTACCACTACTACTTCTACCACCACCACTACTACTACTACTACTACTACCACTACTACTTCTACCACCACCACTACTACTACTACTACTACTACCACTACTACTACTACCACTACTACTACTACTACTACTACTACTACCACTACTACTACCACCACTACTACTACTACCACCACCACCACCACTACTACTACTACTACTACTACTACTACTACCACCACTACTACTACTACTACTACTACCACCACCACCACCACCACTACTACTATTACCACTACTACTTCTACCACCACCACTACTACTACTACCACCACCACTACTACTACTACTACTACTACCACTACTACTACTACCACTACTACTACTATCACCATCACGACTACTACTACTACTAATATTACAACTATTACTACTACATATTAAATACAGCAAACAACCAGCACTAAACTACAGAGCCCTGCTGGTGACGTCCTGTGTAAATAACATAATGCGTGGCTTAGTAAGGCGTGGGAATGAGATAATGAAGTCATGGCCACCACTTAATAAGGCATGGGAACAAGATCATGCCACGCATTAGCATCTCATTTCCACACCAAGTCGTGGCCATGACTTAATTATCTCATTCCCATGGCTTACTAAGTCGTGGCCACACATTATTTTCATTTATACAGGATGTCGCCAGCAGGGCTCTGTAGTAAACAGTGATTATTCAGTTTATGTATAAGTGCAGATCTCTCTCTTCAGCCATCAGATACACTGCACTGCAAAAATGATGAGCTGAAGTACAAGAAATAAAGACTAAATTTCAGGAGAAAATGATCTGAAACTAATGAAATGATCATTTTACTCAACAAGAAATTATAAAATAAGTTCCAGTCTAGAAATAATAAAAGGTCAAAGGTCTGAAATAAGTAGAAAAAGCTGCTTATTAGATCAAATGACTCAAGATCAGACTCACTACAGCTCAGTAAAGAGTGAAACACACTGAATATCAGTGAATAATTCTTAATTCAGTGTTTTCATTCTTATTTCAGCACAGTGAAGAAATGAAGGCGAAGAAGAAGAAAATACCTCAGTAAATTAGTGTAAAGGACTGAACACTACAGTGGAGGAAGATTCTGCTGTTACTGAAACAACTGTCTGATACTAAAACAGGTCTAAACCTGTGTTTAATCTAAAACTAGTCCTTAATCTCAGAGCAGACACCTTACAACAGGACACTGATTTACTGACATCACAACCAGAACTGAGAGAGAGAGAGAGAGAGAGAGAGAGAGAGAGCGGAGAGAGTGCAGAGAGAGAGCAGAGAGCGAGTAAGTGAGAGACAGAGAGGCAGACAGAGAGAGAGAGAGAGAGAGAGAACAGAAAGAGAGAGAGAGAACGGAGAGCGAGTGAGCAAGAGACAGAGAGAGAAAGAGAGAGGGAGAACAGAGAGATAGAGAGAACAGAAAGAGAGAGAGAGAGAGAGAGAAAACGGAGAGAGAGAGAGACAGAGAGAGAGAACGGAGAGAGTACAGAGAGAGAGCAGAGAGCGAGTGAGCGAGAGACAGAGAGAGAGAGAGAGAACAGAAAAAGAGAGAGAGAATGGAGAGACAGAGAGAGAATGGAGAGCGAGTGAGCAAGAGACAGAGAGACAGAGAGAGAAAGAGAGGGAGAACAGAAAGAGAGATAGAGAGAACAGAAAGAGAGATAGAGAGAACAGAAAGAGAGATAGAGAGAACAGAAAGAGAGTGAGAGAGTGAGAGAGACAGAGAGGAGAGAGAGAGAGACAGAGAGGAGAGAGCGAGAGAGAGAGAGAGAGAGAGAGAGAGAGAGAGGAGAGAGCGAGAGCGAGAGAGAGAGAGAGAGAGAGAGAGAGAGAGAGAGAGAGAGAGAGAGGAGAGAGCGAGAGCGAGAGAGAGAGAGAGAGAGAGAGATGGTATAGATCCTTTTTTTTATCTGTTTTTTTTTACCAGTAAATTACTCAATTTTAAGATTTCCTGACTAATTGAGGCATAGAAGACAAATTCATGATAAATTTAAGAATCTCTCACGAATTCAAAGACTGAAATTAGTAAATTACTTTTAAAATAAGATCATTAATCTCATATTTACAGATCTGGGATTTTAAATCTTGGTAAGTGCAGAACAGTTTGCCATGTGTAAACCATTAAAAATCAGGTCAACATGAAATTTTAAGTCAAAAATAAACCTTTTTAATTTTCCCAACTTAATTTAGCCAGAAGTTGTCCATACTTGTAACATTTTTATAGTGTGTCTAATTTACGGCTACAAAATACGGTTTAATTTGTTTTGAGTTTACTTAGAATAAACAGTGTGGTTTTGTCTTTAAGCTGAAACTGTTTACTCAATTCTCCCCCCCAGTTTAGTTACTGTCAGTTCCTGCCCACAGGCTACAGCTGTGGTCACACAGTGCCCCCAGCCTGGAGGGGGGGGGGTCTCCATATGAGACTTCCTCATGATCTCTCGTGTCCTGATGTTCAGGCAGTTAGACAGACGCACCACAGGTGACCGTTCTTCCCCCAAGCACAGACAGGTTTCTCTATCTGAGCGTGAGGATTCACCTTTCCTCTACTTATTCTCTATTTAACTACTTAAATGGCCAAAGACCAAAGTTTTATTACACTGCAAGAAATTGTATCTTGTCACATAAAACTAACTTACATAGAGTCAATAAATCTAATATTTCTCCTGTTAAGATTGCTGTAAGCTTAATTTAAGACTATTTATCTTATTTCTAGATGTTTTTTACTTGTTTAAAGTAATTTTATTAAGTAAAATTATCCCACTGTATTATTGGCAGATAATTTTGGTTGTTTTAAGAAATGAAGTATCTGCCAGTATAGTGAGAGAATTTTACTTAATAAAATTACTCAAAACAACTGAAAATGACAAGAAATAAGATAGTTAATCTTATAATAAATGCACAACCATCTAAAATGGGAAATATTAGATATATCGACAGAATTAAGATCATTTCACTTGACAAAATATTATTTTTTTGCAGTGCACACACTTCTATAATCTAATAATAGCTCAGCCAGGTTACATTGAAGTCCCTGTAGTTACTGAATAATAAGCCTTTGCATGTAATCTGCCTGGAATTTGAAAGGCTTACAGAGTACATTCATGGTGGAGGGATACATAATATGCAGGGCGCTGTGAGACAAAATAGTCCCCACATTAAACTTATTATTTCAGATTTTCCACTATTTTCCAACATCAACATTCCATATAAACTCAGAAGACTCGTGTAGGTTCACTGGTGTTTCTGGATAGTAAATAAAATGTCTATATTTGTGTTGTAGTCATGGCGACCCCTGGTTCCTATCACCACCACTGTAAAGAGATCTGAGTCATTTCACACCACCATTTCGATTACAGACTGCCTTTAAATATCTCTAATAGGCTTGATTATGTGGTTTCTGAGGCTGTATGACTCACTGTTATCTATAAACATGGACTAAAGCATGTTAGCATAGCTAAAAACAGTAGCAGCCACCTGGAACACTGAATTCAATCCATGCTTTAGTCCATGTTTATAGATAACAGTGAGTCATACAGTCTCAGAAACCACATAATCAAGTCTATTAGAGACACTGAACACCTCCACATGGTTTAAGACGAGCCTGTGATGATTTAGGCATGTAGGTAGCACCATGCTAATCACTGGGGCATAAGCTTCCATTACTTGTTAGCTACATTAGCCTTGGAGCTCCAGTGCTCAAACTACAGAAGCAAACTTCATGTTTTGGCTGATCCAATAACGGGAAAAATTGTGACATGATGAGCATTGTTCAAGTCCATTACCTTCCCCAAAAAATAATTTAATAAATACATGACCTGTCACATTATTCAGCAATGTTTCTTTTATGTGAAACAGTTTTCAGTGCATCCATACAAAATTCACTTTAGTTTCTTTTTGCCTCCAAAATGTCAGGTGGTGCAACCGTCCAACCATATATGCTGAATAAGTAAACCTTTAAAAAAAGGTAATTTAGTTTAAAAAAAATTCTAAATAAAATAGTTTGCCATGATTTTATGTTTGAAGACTTTAAAATAAAAACCATGTTGCAAAATGAGGCAACTTCAAAAGTGCTCAACCCAACTTTTGTCCGCAAGGTCTTTCTTCCTCAAATGTCAGACAGCACAACCAAAATCAAAGAACTTTTATTTTGAAATGCTTTTACCAAAGACAGGCCAGGGTATTACATCATAAAGAAGATGCCATGCGACCTTCATGGTGCAATGTCTGTCTTGTAAAGCTGTGATGTTTGAGTCGTGGTTAGAAAGGTTCACTTTACCATGTCAGGCAGTCTGACCTCAGGAGAACCATGAAAATGTGGAATTATTATAATAATGTTTATTTATCTGAAAAGATATCTGAAAAGTATGAACTCAAGCTGAAGGTAAGTAGATGCCTGTTTAATTTGAAATTAGTCTGAAAAGTCAGGCGGCGCAACCAGTCAGTCAGATGGAGCAACCAGACCAGCACAGTATAATAACTGAATCAGGTAATATATATTATTAACCTGTAAATTAGATTTTTTTTCTTTACTTTACTTTTTTTTTTTACTTACTTTACTTCATCATCACTTATGTATTTGCCATCAACACTACTTACTTTTGCAATTGTTGCACGGAGGCTGTGGCTGCAGGGTTGCCCTCAGTTTGCTAACATAGGACAGACTGCCTTCCTGCAAGAGAGATCAAAACATAAAACATGATCGTACATCAGGCTTGTTACAACAGAAGAACCCTTTTTAGAAAGGTATATATAGAACCACCTACAGCACATTCTCTGTCAACCTGAAGAACCCTTTCATGATGCATATAACTCTTTAATCACGCAAAGGGTTCTTAGAGTGTTCATGGCTCGATGTAGAATCATTTTCTTTACTAAAGAACCCTTAAAGAACCATCATTTTAAGTGTGTATATTAATGAAATTGACATTATCAGCTGGTAAAGCTGTAGTTATTCAGAAACAATGTTCATATTTTACTGATGTTTTTATTTGCTGTTCTAAAATAAATCTGTCATTGTTTGACACACAGTCTAATAGTGTTCTAATGCAATTTGATGTGTGTCTATCAGTTTATGTGTCTGTCTTATAGATGATAATATATAAAGCAGTTTGGTTGGAAATTATTTTTGTTTCTTACAGCATAGAATTGGATTAACTCTGTTTGCTCTGATTGATCAGATGTTTCTAGCAGGTGTTAAACTGACCCTCTGTCTGTTACAGTGAACCCACCCATGGGCTAAACTGGACACTGCACTTCCCCTCGTTTTGGGTGGGCTTGTACATGAACGATAGGAGCTGGAAACAAAGTTCAGGTGTTCGTTTGTAGCAGAGATGTTTATGTTGCTTGTATATAAGTATGATTATTCTAGCTTAAATATTTTGGTCCCACTTTATTTGGATGGTCCACTATAGATGATCTACAGATACTTAAATTATTAACAAACTTTCTGGTGATACTCAGTTGAGTCTCAACAACATTAAGGTTAGGGTTAGGTTTAGGAGTAGGTTTTGGGTTGAAGTTAAGGTAAGGTTTAGGTTTAGGGTTAGATTTAATATGTTTTTTCAGACTCAACTTTAAGTTCAGTTGCATTTCATTGATATTTAGATGGATGTCAGTTAAAGACAGACTGAGTAACATAAAAGCATCTACAGTGGACCATCCAAATAAAGTGTTACCGATATTTTTAAAATTATTTCACAAAAACTAAAACATGTTAGGTTGTCAAGTAAAATTATCCTAAAAATAATCAATAAATCCAATATTTCTCCTGTTGTGACTGTTATGAGCTGAATTTAAAATTATTTGCCTTATTTCTAGGCAGTTTTCACTTGTTTTAAGTAAATATATTCAGTTATAAAATTATCTCACTATATTGGCAGATAATTTTGCTTGTTGTAAGAAATGAGCTTGAAACCAGCAAAATTATCTGCCAGTATAGTGAGATAATTTTACTAAATATAATTACTTAAAACAAGTAAAAAAAATGGACATTATTCAGTTTTTGACATAATTTGAAAATACCCTTTGACCTTTACATTGTATGTAAATTTCATGATGAATGGACCAAAAGAAACGACCCGAAATGACTTGGAAAAAAAGTCTGGTTCCATTGACTTACATTAAAAGTACAGTAGATTTTTTCCTTCTCCTGTAAAGTTACTATTTTGGAGATACGAGGTTTGATATACTGACTAGATTTAAGATCATTTCACTTGACAAGATGCCATTTTTTGCAGTGTGCCCTGCTCTCCTCTATGTATAACTGTGCTAAATAAAACTGCACTTATACTGAGTAAAAGTTGTCAAAGCAGCTGCCCATTGACTCTAAGTGTTCCTCGAGTCAGTGGTTTTTCTGTTGTTTTGTAAGTAAAAACATCTTGAGAAACGACATGAAATTACCGTCAACGTTAATCGACTGCATTCCACAGACGTGATAGATGGACAATACTCTCAAAAATATTGAAATATTCCTTTAATGTTGGTGAGCGAACAGAATTCAGTTCCACTGTTGGTTTGAAAGTTATTACACAAGCATTTGGATGCTAAATGTGATGCTTACAAGCAGAGTGAAGACTCGGTGCTCTTAACTGTAGTGATGCTGCGTACCTTGATGAAAGTGAACTCCAGATTTCCTCCATCAAAAACGAGAGAGAGTACAGTCCTCTGGTCTCCACAGTAACCGGTCCTCTTTGTGGATTTAGGGTCCATGTTGAAGAACAAGCTCTTCTGCAAAATGAACAGGAAAGTGTTTCATTCAGTTCAGTTTCATTTGTGTGGAACTTTTCACAACAGGCCTCGTCAAGAAGCAGCTGTACAGAACCAGAGCTATAATGAACCGACAGTAGCTTTGACGATCAATTAATTGATTAATTGATTTGATGTTCAGTTTTAAGGGTTTAGATGAACAATAGATGAAAATTTGGCGAAATCTGACACATTTACACCGTAATGACACTGATTAGCGAGCATCAATTCTGTTATTAATTAACAAGTTATTAGATAACTTGATTAATTGATTTCTTTTATTGACCTTTTTGTTGACCATTTGGTCAACAAAAAGGTCAATAAAAGTGATTTAAAGTAATATGAAATGTGAAATAAAACGTAAACTATTTAGAGTGTTTCAGACAACAAAATGTTTAATGAGTGTTAAATGGTACCTGTGAGGAGTCTTGATGAGTTCTGTGTGGATTAAATATGTTTACTTGGTGATTTATATGCTTTTTTGTTTATGTGTATTTATATGTATTAATGCTGTCTTCAGACATTTAACAGGGAATTCTCAAAATTTCTCAAAATTATTAACTAAATTAAACAGATTCTACACCACACGCTGCATCCGCAAAGCCACCAGCATTGTGGACGACCCCACACACCCCTCACACAGACTTTTTTCACTGCTGCCGTCTGGCAGAAGGTACCGGAGCCTCTGCGCCATCGCTGCCAGACTCTGCAACAGCTTTGTCCCTCAAGCAACCAGGTTTTCAAACTCACAAGGGCTGAACTAAACCCCCCCTACACACTCATACACACCTCTTTTCATGCTCTACTTGCACTATCTATCTGGAACATTGTTGCCAATACTGTGTTTACACTGTTTACAGCCTCAGTAACTGTTCAGTAACTACTCAGTAATTATAATTGTTTTACTACCTCAGTAACTGCTGTGTTTATGTATGTTATCTGACGTAACTCACAGATCACAGCATGTTAAATATGTCTGCACCTTATTCCACAACCTCATGTCCAGAAATCTGTGCTGTGTCGGTGCTGCACTCTCCTGTCTGTTCACTGTGTCTAATGTCTGTTTAATTTATCGTATTTATTGTATTGTTTCTAGCTGCATTTTTGTTTGCACTCTGTCTGCACGTTCACACTTTATAATTTTATACTTTTGTTCCTTGTTGCACCGTGTTGTTCCTGCAGGAACGTAATTTCGCTCCACTGTGTACTTGTACATAGATGGAATGACAATAAAAGCCTCTTGACTTGACTTGAGATTTGAACAGTCAGAGTGGTTCGGTGTGAAATGCTCTGTTCTAGAGAAACTTATCGAGTCAGAATTGTTCACACTGTAATCCTAGCCTAGTAAGCCTAGTCTTGAACTAAATTGCAGTACTAAAGTGTGAATCACCATTAAAAATGAATTTTATTCTAGGCTTGGGCTTAATCTGTGTCTGGAACACTGACCGTATGTTTCTATAGCACCTTTTAGGCTGAGATACAAATAAAAAAGAAAATAATAAATAGAAAACTAGCAAAAAACAACAGGTTAAATGGGAATTCCACTAGTTTTTTACCAATTTCTGTATGTTTAAACGGTTAAGATGTAAACAGAATCGTTCAGAGTGGTTTGGCGTGAAACGCTCTGTTCTAGAGAAACTTACAATCACCACAGTGGTGGTGATAGGAACCAGACGTCCACCTCTAAAAGCTCCCTCACAGAAACATTACATGAAATGGTCATGAATTCACTGATACCCGAGACATTGTTTTAAGATACGTTTGAAAAGATTTTGGCCTTAAACTCCATTCATGGTGGAGGGATACATAATATGCACAGTGTTGTGAGGCAAAATAGTCCCCAAAGAAAACGTATTATTTCAGATTTTCCACTATTTTCCATCATCAACATTCCATATAAACTCAGAAGACTCGTGTAGGTTCACTGGTGGTTCTGGATAGTAAATAAAATGTCTATATTTGTGTTGTAGTCATGGTGACCCCTGGTTCCTGTCACCACCACTGTAAAGAAATCTGAACCGTTTCACACCAAACCACTCTGAATCTCTCTGATTACACCTCACACACTGAGTTATGCAGAACATTTGGAAAAATCAGTTGAATTTCCTTCTAACCTTTTAAGATAAATAAAAAAGGCTGTTTCTGGTGTTTAATCTACTCTTCTCCTTTAATTACGTAACTTCTCAGTGCTGGTGTTGCACAGAGATGAAACTACAGCAATGCATCCGACAATAAAGGCAGCACGGAGCTTCTTTTATGCAGCAGTAACTCACAGAAAGCTCCAGTTAAACACGCTAATCCATTTTACTGACCAGAGTGGACGTGCACTCTCACCAACTACTCTGAAGGCAGATTTGATGTTCGGTTTTAAGGGTTTAGATAAAAATTAGATGAAAATTTTGCGAAACCTGACACATTTACACCGTAATGACACTGATTAGTGAGCATCATTTCTGTTATACTGATAAATAAAGAGGTTCTATATAGAACTATGAACACTCAAAGAACCCTTTGCATGATTAAAGGATTCTTTGCATCATTAAGGCTTCTTCAGATTGATGGAGAATGAGCTGCAGCTGTTTCTATATAGAACATTTTTAAAAAGGGCTCTTCTGTTATAAGAGGCCTGACATCGTAACAATAGAAGAACCCTTTTTGGTGCTATATTAATAAAACCTTTGTCCCGTGTCCTGACGGAGGCCCCTGGCCATTTAAGGGGTTAACAGTTTTTGTTCTGTTTTCTGAGAGTTTTATGTGTTTGTGAACAATGTTTTACTGTATTTTTGACACTGTGACAGTGTTTTTTAGTGTTTTTCTGTGACCATTTGTTTTTGTTGTACTTTTAGATGCAGAGATGCTGTGCTGTCGCGTTTTATTTTTGTTTTGTTAGTATTTGTGAACAATTTTATTGTATTTTCTGACATAAAACCTTTTTAAGTGTAGTTTTAGGGCTGTTTTTGGGACCAATTTGCAGTTTCAGAGGGACTTTTGTGTTTTGTAAGTTTTTTTATGTTTTTGTGAACAATGTTTTATTGTATTTTCAAACACAGGACACTTTTAAGTGTAGTTTTTCGGGGGGAGTGTTTTGACCAATGTTCACTGTCATTTTTTTTTCTATTTTAAGTGTTTTTTTTATGTTTTTATTGTACTTTTAGATACTGAGATCTTGTGCTTTATTTCTGTTTCATGAGTATTAGTGAACAATTTTTATTGTATTTACAGAGATAATACCATTTTATGTGTAGTTTTAGGGTTTTTTGTGAACGATTTTCAATTTTACAGGTTGTTTTTCTGTTTTGTGAGTATTTGATGTGTTAGTGAACAATGTCATATTGTATTTTCAAACATAGGACATTTTTAGGTGTAGTGTTGGGGGGTGGTCATGACCAATGTTCACCTTTTTTTTAAGCATTTTTTGTGACCACTTGTTTTTATAGCATTTTTAAATACAGAGATCTTGTGTTGTCACACTTTATTTTAGTTTTGTGAGTATTTCTGAACAATGTGTACTGTATTTTCAGACATGAGACCTTTTTGAGTGTAGTTTTTGGGGTTTTTGTTGTGACCAACTTGCAATTTTACAGGGTTTTTTAGTATTTCAAACGTTAGTGAACAATGTCTTATTGTATTTTCAAATTTGTACTGTAGTTTTAGGGAAAAGTTTATGCACTATGACATTTTTTTCTATTTTAGAAAAAATTTAGAAAATTTTCTATATGATTTTTTTCTGTTTTAAGTGTTTTTTTGTGATCACTCGTTTTTATTGTATTTTTAAATACAGAGATCTTGCGCGGTCACACTGCATTTCTTTTTTGTGAGTATTTGTGAACAATAGTTTTTAGATATGAGACCTTTTAAAGTGTACTTTAGGATTTTTTGTAATTAATTTTCACTTTAACTGTCAACCTGTCCAGGGTGTATCCTGCCTTCCACCCAGTGAACACTGGGATCAGCTCCAGCTGCCCCCCGCGACCCAGAAGGATAAGCGGTTTAGAAAATGTGTGTGTTTTAGTCGTGTTTTGTGGTATTTTATGTGTTTGCAAACATTTTTTTTTGTATTTTGAAACAGACGACCTCTTAAAGTGCAGTTAAAGTGTGTTTTTAGTGCCCACTCTGCACCGTGACCGTTTTTCTCTGTGTGTAAGTGTGTGTTGTGTGCAGCTCCCTCAGTGAGGTGTGAACAGAGTGCGTTCTCACCCGAGGCCGTTAGTGCTGAGAGGGAGATAAAAAGTGCTGAAGTGATGGCGCGCGGTACCTTGTTCTCTATCACAGTGAACTCCACTCCCATAGACGCCCTCACACACACGCGGCCCTGCCGGTTCTTCAGTTCGTACGTTTCCACCAGCGGCGGGCTCGGTTTGGGCTGGAGGGTGGGCTTTTTGGAGGCGTTAAGCAGAACAAGGTCCTCATCTCCGGAGTGGTCCAGAGAGGCTTCATGCGTCAAAGCATGTTCGACCACTTCAGACTCCCCTGACACCACACTGTTTCCTGTGTGCACAGTTTTTCACACATACACTTTGTTCATGCTGGCAGAATTCACCACTCACTGCTCGGTTTGGTCACGACTCTCTTATCACACATTCAACATGCGCTGAGCGAGTTACGTTAAACTGTTATGTTATAAACGTTGTGAACACAGATTCTACAGGAAAACAAACCTTTTCACAGTGAAGCTACTGCACAGTGTACGACAACGGCCAAAGGGTCTACTCTGTAAATGCCTGTTGAGTTTCATGTGGATCAAAGTCAATGGTGTCATGTTATGGTACGTGTGTTCAGAATCCAGATAACTTTATGAATGTGCATGCACAACTGCAAACCCTAAAACTGTACTGGTCTTTATGCAGGTTCATATTACAATTTATCACAACTACAGGACTGACACATTAGTTTGATAGTAGACTCATAGTAGGTACTGAATAATTCATAGTAGATACTGAATAATTCATAGTAGATACTGAATAATTCATAGTGGTAATTGAATAATTCATAGTAATTACTGAATAACTCATAGTAGATACTGAATAATTCATAACAATTACTGAATAATTCATAGTAGATACTGAATAATTCATAGTAGATACTGAATAATTCATAGAAGATACTGAATAATTCATGGTAGTTACTGAATAATTCATAGTAGTTGCTGAATAATTCATAGTAGTTACTGAATAATTCATAGTAGGTACTGAATAATTCATAGAAGATACTTAATAATTCATGGTAGTTACTGAATAATTCATAGTAGTTGCTGAATAATTCATAGTAGTTACTGAATTATTCATAGTAGGTACTGAAAAATTTATAGTTGATACTGAATAATTCATAGTAGTTACTGAATGATTAAAAGTAGATACTGAATAATTCATAGTAGTTACTGAATAATTCATGGTAGTTACTGAATAATTAATAGTAGATACTGAATAATTCATAGTAGATACTGAATAATTCATAGAAGATACTGAATAATTCATGGTAGTTACTGAATAATTAATAGTAGATACTGAATAATTCATAGTAGTTGCTGAATAATTCATAGTAGTTGCTGAATAATTCATGGTGGTTACTGAATAATTTTTAGTACTTACTGAATAATAAGTAGTAGATGCATTGAGATATACTTCTAACTGAACTTCATCCTCACCCTGAAGTGACTTCATTCTGTACTTAAATCATTCTTCCTGTTAATGTTTGAGTCACATTGCCTTTTATCAAAATAACCACTACAATGTTTCTCACCGAGGCTTGTTCCACTGAAACTACTGCTGGAGGGTGTCAGTGTCGCACCTCGCTGAATCACACATGACAGAGTGGAGAAAATGAAACTCACCCAGGAAGAGCAGAGCGGAGAGAATGAACAACTGCATGGCGGCGATTCTCGCAACAGTCATCTTGAGAAACAGCTCAGCGTACGAAGTGCTCTGAAATGGACTGTAGTGAGGGATCTACTCTAAAGCAGTGCTGCCCTTATGGACGCATCCTTCTCTGGGAGGAGCTTTAGGTTTTGATGCCCTCAGCTACCCTGCCCAACTCCGTCTGTGGCTGCAACACTCTGAAAAAAGTGCTGCGTTGAATTCACTTTATTCAAATGTGTATTATAATCCACAGGATTGTTGCAAATGATCAGTTATTATTTACTGCAAAATGAATTAAACTCACAAAACACAAAACAGTGTTGTGATATATTTTATTATATTTTATTTATAAGGTAACTACTAGTTTAAGCTAACAGTTGTTGACAAGCCAGTCAAACTAATCATAGGCTAATTAATCACAGGCTCATCAGGATAACCAGTCATACATTAGCCAACCATCTGCTAACCAAACACAGGCAAACTAATCATTGACCAATCAGTCATAGGCTAACTAAATACTCACTAACCAATCACAGGCTAATAATCACATGCTAAATAATCATATACTAACAATCACTGGTGAAGTGATCAGGGTTAGGGTCATAGACTAACCAGTCACTATACAATCATCAACTAACCAATCATAGGTTAATCAATCACAAGCTATCCAATCATAGACTAACCAATTACAGGCTAAATGTAGACCAACCAACCATATGCTAACTACTCAAAGTACAACCAATCACAGGCTAACCAATTACAAGCTAAATAATCATAGGGTAACTAATCACAGGCTACCCAATCACAGGCTAACCGATTACAAGCTAACTAAGCATAGGCTAACTAATCATAGGCTAACCAATTACAGGCTAACCAATTACAAGCTAACTAAGCATAGGCTAACTAATCATAGGCTAACTAATTACAGGCTAACCAATTACAAGCTAACTAATTATAGGCTAACTAATCATAGGCTAACCAATTACAGGCTAACCAATTACAAGCTAACTAAGCATAGGCTAACTAATCATAGGCTAACCAATTACAAGCTAACTAATTATAGGCTAACTAATCATAGGCTAACCAATTACAGGCTAACCAATTACATGCTAACTAATCATAGGCTAACCAATCATAGGCTAGCCAATTACAGGCAAACCAATTACAAGCTAAATAATCATAGGCTAACCAATCACAGGCTAACCAATTACAAGCTAACTAATTATAGGCTAACCAATCACAGGCTAACCAATTACAAGCTAAATAATCATAGGCTAACTAATCACAGGCTACCCAATCACAGGCTAACCGATTACAAGCTAACTAAGCATAGGCTAACTAATCATAGGCTAACCAATTACAGGCTAACCAATTACAAGCTAACTAATTATAGGCTAACTAATCATAGGCTAACCAATTACAGGCTAACCAATTACATGCTAACTAAGCATAGGCTAACCAATCATAGGCTAACCAATTACAGGCTAACCAATTACAAGCTAAATAATCATAGGCTAACCAATCACAGGCTAACCAATTACAAGCTAACTAATTATAGGCTAACCAATCACAGGCTAACCAATTACAAGCTAAATAATCATAGGCTATCCAATCACAGGCTAACCAATTACAAGCTAACTAAGCATAGGCTAATTAATCATAGGCTAACCAATTACAAGCTAACTAATTATAGGCTAACTAATCATAGGCTAACCAATTACAGGCTAACCAATTACAAGCTAACTAATCATAGGCTAACCAATCATAGGCTAGCCAATTACAGGCTAACCAATTACAAGCTAAATAACCATAGACTAACCAATCACAGGCTAACCAATTACAAGCTAACTAATTACAGGCTAACCAATCACAGGCTAACCAATTACAAGCTAAATAATCATAGGCTAACCAATCACAGGCTAACCAATTACAAGCTAACTAATTATAGGCTAACCAATCACAGGCTAACCAATTACAAGCTAACTAATCATAAGCTAACTAATCACAGGCTAACCAATTACAAGCTAACTAATCACAAGCTAACTAATCACAGGCTAACCAATTACAGGCTAACCAATTACAAGCTAACTAATCATAGGCTAACTAAGCATAGGCTAGCCAATTACAGGCTAACCAATCACAGGCTAATAATCACATGCTAAATAATCATATACTAACAATCACTGGTGAAGTGATCAGGGTTAGGGTCATAGACTAACCAGTCACTATACAATCATCAACTAACCAATCATAGGTTAATCAATCACAAGCTATCCAATCATAGACTAACCAATTACAGGCTAAATGTAGACCAATTACAGGCTAACCAATTACAAGCTAAATAATCATAGGCTAACCAATCACAGGCTAACCAATTACACGCTAACTAATTATAGGCTAACCAATCACAGGCTAACCAATTACAAGCTAAATAATCATAGGCTAACAAATCACAGGCTAACCAATTACAAGCTAACTAAGCATAGGCTAACTAATCATAGGCTAACCAATTACAGGCTAACCAATTACAAGCTAACTAATTATAGGCTAACTAATCATAGGCTAACCAATTACAGGCTAACCAATTACAAGCTAACTAATCATAGGCTAACCAATCATAGTCTAGCCAATTACAGGCTAACCAATTACAAGCTAACTAATTATAGGCTAACCAATCACAGGCTAACCAATTACAAGCTAAATAATCATAGGCTAACCAATCACAGGCTAACCAATTACAAGCTAACTAATTATAGGCTAACCAATCACAGGCTAACCAATTACAAGCTAACTAATCATAAGCTAACCAATCACAGGCTAACCAATTACAAGCTAACTGATCACAAGCTAACTAATCACAGGCTAACCAGTTACAAGCTAACCAATTACAAGCTAACTAATCACAAGCTAACTAATCACAGGCTAACCAATTACAGGCTAACCAATTACAAGCTAACTAATCATAGGCTAACTAAGCATAGGCTAGCCAATTACAGGCTAACCAATTACAAGCTAAATAATCATAGGCTAACCAATCACAGGCTAACCAATTACAAGCTAACTAATTATAGGCTAACCAATCACAAGCTAACTAATCATAGGCTAGCCAATTACAGGCTAACTGATTACAAGCTAACTAATCACAGGCTAACCAATTACAAGCTAAATAATCATAGGCTAACTAATCATAGGCTAGCCAATAACAGGCTAACCATTTACAAGCTAACTAATCACAGGCTAACCAATCACAGGCTAACCAATTACAAGCTAACTAAGCATAGGCTAACTAATCATAGGCTAGCCAATTACAGGCTAACCAATTACAAGCTAACTAATCACAGGCTAACCAATCACAGGCTATCCAATTACAAGCTAATTAATCACAGGCTAACCAATCACAGGCTAACCAATCACACGATTACTGATTACAAGCTAACTAATTATAGGCTAACCAATCACAGGGTAACCAATTACAAGCTAAACGATCACAAGAGATAGAAATCTTTTATAGAACTATACTGTAATTTATTCTCATGCATGCTGACCGTTTTTATTGAGTGTTCCATAGTTTGCCAGCTTCACTCTCCATGGTAGCTGATGTATGATTTTCTGACAGTTTAAAAAGTTGGTGCCCAATTTTATCAGTCGGCTTTCAGCAGAGTTTATTACAGCACAACAGTTATCATGGCCAAAATACGGGAAACTGGAACTGCCCCCCATTTTTATTTCATAGATAAAAACATTGGAAATTTTAATGATATATTGACCACCAAACTGGAGCTGTCACCATTTTCATTTCAGAAATCTGGTCACCTTAAATTTTAAGCTAACTAATCACAGGCTGACCAATAGACCACTGTAGTCGTGCGTCATTCTGTAGTCCTCGTCATGCCCATATTAGGAACTCCAGGTTCTCTATGGCCAGAATGAATAGGGCTTTCGAAAATTCGCCTCTATCTCAAGCAGAAATAGATAAGTAAGCAATAGAACACCAGAGGGAGTGTCATCACGAAATAACATCACGGCTGTGATTTGGTCGCAGGCACAAGCTAGTTTCCTGTATTTTGGCCATAATAACTGCTGTGCTGTAATAATAAACTCTGCTGAAGGCCGACTGATGAAATGTTACTGGCAATAACACACTCCTCGAGTGTTCTACTGCTTTTATACAAGTTAAATAAATAAAGTAATAAATTAATAAACTGGGCCGTGAACGCGGCATTTAATATGTTTTAATGTTCGCAGTTCCTTCACCAAATTATAGTTCCTTAACGAGCAGCTTGTTGCTATGTCAGAGTAACGAACTCCGCCCACTCGTTGCACAGTCTGCTGTAAGCCTCGCCTTCTGAAGTGCGGACTGAGCTATAAAACTGCCACAATATCAGGTTCAGCTCAGTTTTGTCAGTTTTTGCCAGATCAGTATTAATGCTGTTTTGTTCCAGCCAGTCTGTAAAGCATCTTACAGCCCGTTTAGTTTGGCGAATGGTGTTGGGTTCATTTCTGGCTGATTCCAGGTTGTTTAGCTGTTCTTCTGTCACAGCTGCCGACTGAAAAGCTGCTCAGTGGTGACGACAGTTTGGGGATTTAGTGTCGTCTCATCTTCAGAGTCTGACCAAATTGGCTGTCGATCAAATGTGATCTTTAAAGTGTCCATTTTCTGTTTGTGGCAAAGTAAGAAGTAAAAACGCTCAAATGGCTTGAGCGTCTCCTACAGCTGTCAAAGTCGTTGCTTAGCAACGGTGCCTCAGCGGAGTGATACAGTGTTGTAAAAAGAAAGAATACTTTATGAGGTGGTGCTTAGGTCAGCGCGTGAGTGTGGTTCTCTCCTCACTCTGGGCTCCTATGCTTTCATATTTTTGTGCACAGCACGAGTAAGCATCATCAGGGGGTGGTAACATTGGTTGACTTATTTGCATAATGTCACCCACGCCTATAGCAGAGTTGAACCAGATGGGGCGCTGCAGAGGCGGAACTGACCACAATAACAATATTCTTTTCACAGTTTAGAAAGATACAGAGCCCCTAAGGGGCCATGGTTAAAAAAAACGTTAATGACATTGTGTTCCCTCGCAAAAAAATTGTGTTTCCTCGCAAATGTTTTGCATTACGATGCAAACAGTTTGCATTCTCTTGCAAAAGCTGTGCTTTGCTTAAGCTCAGAGATGAAGCAGCTCACTGAATTTTACGTTGATCTTGGATTGAAATATAAAGACATGGTGTCGCTTCTCAAAATCAAACATGATTTTGCTGTTAGTGACTCAAACTGAGACTGAGGGTCCTCGTACACTAAAAGCTACATTTACAGAGACCTGCAGAGAACAGTTGCTGAGTAAACTCAGCACCGACTGGTGAAGCTGGGAAAACAGCTTTTAACGTTAGCTACGCTAAAAAACAAAGCTCTAATGTAGGCATTGTCATTGGCCACCTCTGGTCCTACATTTGCTTGCTGTCTGATGAGCATATATTTTGCGAGGGAATGCAAAACATTTGCGGGGGAACGCAATGTCATTAACTTATCATTTTTACCACGGCCCCTTAGGGGCTCCGTAGAAAGATGTGTTCACATTTCAAGCAAGGCTGGTATATTTTATTATTACAGAGCAGTGCGTTTCAGCTGTTAATGAAAAAAAAGGTCCGAAGGGGGTCCGAACTTCGGGTAATGTGTCATACGACTGGACTGGTACTTTACACGACTCATGTAAAAGTCTGGGTTCAGTCCAGTTTCCAGTTCAGACCTTAGCCGGTTAAGAAAACTAATGTGAATTCAGCTGCATTTCACACAGACGCCTCTTCAAAACAGCTCCCACGTACTGTTTACTCAAACACATCATCCACCTACATACTCAAAACCCTCCCACTGATCAGCTGCACCTTCCTCCAGCTACGCGCTTCTCCCTCAGCATGGCATTAGGCTTTTTATAGCTTCATTAGCAAGACAGCTTTCATATTTGTAAGCAAGGTGTGAAATACAGGGGGTCCTGGGGGGTCTGGGACCTCCTGATTAACCTCGTGACCCCCTGAATGTCTCAAAGTCAAATTTTCTGGGAGTCCCTGAAAATAAACTTATGACGTTTTGCTGTCCGTTTGGGAAAAACAGACACTCCAATATAGATTCAGTGAAGCTCATTGTTTATCCGCTTCACCCACAATCAGCTTCTGTCTTTGGTGTTCTTAACTAACTACAGCTGCAGCACTGCTCTGCCTCAGGGTGGCGCTGTAGCAGACTGGTTCACCCAGTTGGTCCTTCATAGGCTAGAAACTGTAACTCTGCCCAGATTCCTCTGAAAAACTTTACAATGAGCTGCAGCAGATCTGTAAATCTGAAAACTCACCCAGTTTCCCAAGAGTTTGGAGTGAAGAGTGACTGTTCCTCATTTCTCACACTGAAGACAGAAGAGGAGACGAGGAAGATCTCAGTTACTGTGAGGAAGAGCGCAGAACCGCACTAGAACAGAGACTCTACAGAAGAGGAGACGAGGAAGATCTCAGTTACTGTGAGGAAGAGCGCAGAACCGCACTAGAACAGAGACTCTACAGAAGAACAGCTGATAAACCAGACATTTACTGACATTGAAGCATCAGCGCTGCTATGGAGAGAGAGAGTTAGCAGACAGACAACATGAGACCCATGAATACCAGGGGGTGTTTCAGACACTGTAAGGATGTAAACAGGGCTATGTTTGAAATTTCCTCAAGAACTCATTGTAAAACCATCAACATCATTACCAGTTAACATATACTGACCTTCTGAGTCATAATAAAACTGATTTGCGGCCGATAGATCAGCTGCTCCCATTCGGCCTCTTAAAAAGTGCTTTTACAAAGTTCTTAAAATTTCTTTTTAACATATCTTGGTGATATATTGACTATAAATAGGATTTCTTGTTTTAACTTTAAAAAAAGGAAATAACTAACCTCATCGCAGAGTGAGTTAAAGGGGAATTCCACCCATTTTTTATATTTTTGCTCAGTCATTTACTAAATAATGTTATTCGGACTGGTTTGGTGTGAAATGGTTCAGATGTCTTTACAATATAGACATTTTATTTACTATCCAAAACCACCAGTGAACCTACACGAGTCTTCTGAGTTTATATGGAATGTTGATGATGGAAAATCTGAAATAATAAGTTTTCTTTGGGGACTATTTTGCCTCACAACACCCTACATGTTATGTATCCCTCCACTATGGATGGAGTTTAAGGCCAAAATCTTTTCAAAACTATCATAAAACAGTGTCTCAGTCATCAGGCAGTGAATTCATAACCATTTCATGTAGTAAATTTCTGTGAGGGAGCTTTCAGAGGTGGATGTCTGGTTCCTATCACCACCACTGTGAACAGTTCTGACTCGGTATGTTTCTCTAGAACGGAGCGTTTCACACCAAACCACTCTGAACGACTCTGTTCGCATCTTAACCATTTTATTATACAGAAAATTGGTGAAAAAATGTTTGCTTGTTTTCTAATATTTTTCTTTTGTATTTTTAGATTTGTACCTCAGCCTAAAAGGTGCTATAGACAGTTGGCCAGTGTCCTAGACACAGATTAAGCCCAAGCCTAGAATAATATTAATTTTTAATGGTGATTTACACGTTAGCACTGCAATTTAGTCCAAGACTAAGCTTAATCTACAGCGCTGTTTACATCTTAACCATTTAGTTATGCTAAAAATTTGAAAAATGGGTGGAATTCCCCTGAAAACAAAACAATAATCTATATCTTACATTCTGCTAACTTATTATTTGGAGTTAAATAACTTACACTTTTGAGCAAAAAACATCAAATCATTTACTATACAGTGTTATTATTATGGCTGCTGGGATTTGATCCTCTTTAATTTGCTCAGTAGAACTTTGATGCCGTTTTTATTTGATTATGGTAGATTTTTTTACTCTCTCTGCCACAAACAACACTAAGAGAGCAATGCGTAAAGCCTCTTGCTTGATACAACCTGTAAAACACAGTAAAATATGAATAAACCTCAGTTTTTATTCAATGTACATAACAGTATGTGGACCTACAGTGTGAAATACGCTTCGTTTTGTAGATGGTGCAAAAAAATAAGTTCTGGGAAGAGCTTTAGAGGCCCGGGTGGATTTTGGAGAAGCGGCCCAGGGGTCAAAGGACAAAGAGTGGTTTTAGTTACACATTGGCTGTGTTTACCCATCCAAAGTCTTTGGAAAGAGCTGAACCGATGCTGATACTGAATCTGCGGCCTTTCTGTTGTTTTGAATAGGCAGCAGTGTTAAACGTGCAGAATGACACAGAATTACAGAAATTAGTTTGAAAAATTAAGCTTATTTAAGAAGTCCTAGGTATACAGGAACATTTTGCCGTCTCATCGTGACATTTTACCTCCGTTACCTCAGTATTGTAGGCCTACGTGACCTTTTAACCTGAAAAAGTCTGAGATGAGTCAGACATAACATCAACACAAGTGACTAATAGTTGCATGCTATGATAATGTAATAATATTAAAGGTGCACTCCACCTATTTCCACCCTGATCTGTATCTGCCGCACCGATAGCGCATGATTGATCACCACAGATGATAATTTCGATGTGCCTTCCTGAACTCAAAATAACAGAAAACCTGTTAATACTCTTATAACAGAAGTCAATGGGCAGCTGCTTCAGTGTCTGCCCATTCGTTTCTATTATATGTTTTGATTTAACCGATTTTCTTGGGGTTTCTTTCGCGTTCCACACGTAGAGATTAGGTTGGACTACACCTTTAATGTGTGACAGCACTCTGACCCCAAATGGGAGGCATTATTGATTAAAAAAAAAATGTGTGGGTTGGGGAATGAGCAAACATTTGCACTGTATCCAGTGAGTGACTGCATGCCTCGGTGCATTGACTCCGGGGGAGGTAGACTGGGTTACTTTAGCTATATAACGGACGGTCAGTCGTTAGAGAGAGCGAAGAGTGCAGCAGGGGCAGCGCCGACCCCCTTCATCTGCCCAAAGCAGCTCCAGAGACGTCCATGAGGTCGGAATAATGAAAGGAGACAGGATTTGTGCTCTTTTCGCCCTGACGTGGCTTTTCTACGTGGGATCACACGGCCAGGAGGAGGCCAGGCTTCAGTGCGGTGACAAAAGTGTGTTCGACGTCGTAGATTTTGCCCTTTTAGAGCACAATAAAGACTTAACTGCTGGAAGTCAGCTGGCTCTGTATCAAGTCCTGGGGGCTACGAAGGTCAGCTCAATCTGTTCTAACTTGTACAAGGACTTTTTCACATGTTTACTTGTATTTATGGCAGTTTGAGAACCTGCAGCTGCTCAGTGCGGCTTCTAACTTTAGAAGTATTTTCCTTTTTTCGCATTTTCTTTAAGCAAATCAACATCCAGCACTTTTCTCACAAGCAGGCCCAGAATGAAACTGATGAAATCATGTCAGTGCACTTCACAGCGAGGGAGTCCGACTGTCTAGCAGGCGGAGACAAAGTGTGGCACCAATGTGACTACCTGCAGGACCACTCTAAGGTAAGTGAAAAATTGTTTTAGCTAATTTAAAAGGAAATTTCTGCATAATTCAGTGTGTGAGATGTAAACAGAGAGATTCAGAGTGGTTTGGTGTGAAATGGTTCAGATGTCTTTACAGTGGTGGTGATAGGAACCAGGGGTCGCCATGACTACAACACAAATATAGACATTTTATTTACTATCCAGAACCACCAGTGAACCTACACGAGTCTTCTGAGTTTATATGGAATGTTGATGATGGAAAATAGTGGAAAATCTGCAATAATAAGTTTTCTTTGGGGACTATTTTGCCTCACAAAGCCCTGCATATTACGTATCCCTCCACCATGAATGGAGTTTAAGGCCAAAATCTTCTCAAAGCTATCTAAAGACAGTGTCTCAGTCATCAGGCAGTGAATTCATAACCATTTCATGTAGTAACTTTCTGTGAGGGAGCTTTTAGAGGTGGACGTCTGGTTCCTATCACCACCACTGTGAACAGTTCTGACTCGGTAAGTTTCTCTAGAACGGAGCGTTTCACACCAAACCACTCTAAAGGACTGGTTAAATCTATATAATTAAGCAGAAATTTTAAGAAATTGGTGGAATTCCCTTTTAAAAATCTAAAGGTTGCATTAATTACAACAAACACGTTAAGTTTTCTTTGGGGACTATTTTGCTTCACAGCACCCTGCATATTATGTATCCCTCCACCATGAATGGATTCTAAGACCAAAATCTTCTCAAAACTATCGTAAAACAATGTCTCAGTCATCAGGCAGTGAATTCATAACTATTTCATGAGATGGACGTCTGGTTCCTATCACCACCACTGTGAACAATTCTTACTCGGTATGTTTATCTAGAACAGAGCGTTTCACACCAAACCACTCTGAACCACTCTGTTTACATCTTAACCACTTAATTATGCTGAAAATTGGTAAAAAAACTGGTGGAATTCCCATTTAACCTGTTAATTTTGCGAGTTTTCTATTTATTATTTTCCTTTGTATTTGTATATTTGTACCTCAGCCTAAAAGGTGCTATAGAAACATATGGCCAGTGGCCTAGGCACAGATTAAGCCCAAGCCTAGAATAAAATTAATTTTTAATGGTGATTCACACTTTAGTACTGCAATTTAGTCTAGTAAGACTAGGCTTAATCCACAGTACTGCACAAAACTCTTAGGCACCAAATTATTTATCCAGGCACTGTGTGTGTTTTTGCTTGTATATTTTCAAGGTTAAGTGACCCTTATTAGTCCCACAACAAGGAAATTTCACCTCCACATTTTAACCCATCCGTGCAGTGAAACACCACATACACACTAGTGAGCACACACACTAGGGGGCAGTGAGCACACTTGCCCGGAGTGGTGGGCAGCGCTATCCACAGTGCCCAGGGAACAGTTGGGGGTTGGGTCACTTCAGTCATGTACTGTTGGCTCAGGGAATCCAACCGGCTACCTTCCAGTCACAGGGCTGGTTCCCTAACCTCCAGCCCACGACTGCCCCCTATATAACATTAAAGGGAGCATATAAGGTAAAATCCAGTTTTACCTGCTTTTGTGACATCAGAGAGTTGTGATGTAGTATGCGAACATTATTAAAGTTTCAGATTGTAACGGTCCAGACCGTCCATACATGGAAACTAAACTGTGAACTCATAGTTTCTGTGATGTCACAAAAACCAACATATTTACATACATACACCTATGCAACCCACATCAATTTGGCCCCGCCCATTTACGTTACAGTTACAATGAGTGTTTCAGCCCAGACTGCTTTTTGAACCAGGCAGCCAATCAGAACAGAGCTCATTTACATACAGTCATATGCAAAAGTTTGTGCACCCCTGGTCAAATTCCATGTTATTGTTGTTTTTCTGAGTGTAAATAAGCTACACATCCTCAATGTGTTTATTTGCTGAATTTAAACATAAAATGTCGGCTGTGCAAAAGTTTTGGCACATTTTATATTTTGTGTGTTTTTTCCCAAATATGTTAAACAAGTGAATAGAAATTATGCACTAACATTTACAGAAACATGCCATTTTTGAGTCTGTTCTCTGTAAAGGGTGTGTTAACTTATTTTCACCTAGAAAACCAATAAAACAAAAGTAAATAATGGTCACAAATGAACTATGGCTGTTTTTGGTACACAGAACCACATACACAAAAAGTAACAAGAAAATCTTATATAAAAAAAGTGGTTAAAAAATAGCTAGACTTTATTATTATATTACTTTATATTGTTTATCCTGACTTTATTATATACAACTTATTACATACTGAGGTTTATTATTCAGTAACTGCAGGGACGTCATTGCAAACTGACTGAGCTGTTCTTAGATTATAGAAGTGTGTAATAAAACTTTGGGCTCTGGCCATTTAAGGGGTCAATGAGGGGCTGATTAGATGAACTAGGTATTGTATGATCACTACAAATAACACTGAGCTTGGAAATGTTTTGAAATGTTTGGAAATACAAATTATTTGAATAATATTAATTGTAATAATAATTGTATTGCAATGATATTACAAATTATTGTAATAATATTAATAAAATATTATTTTTCTAAACAATAAACTTACACTTATTGCTCCGATAAACATATTTATACATATATATATTTTTTGTGCAGCACCGTATATCTAGGAAACCAGCACAAATGTTTTGCTCTTATTATTATAATCATTATTATTATTATTATTATTATTATTATTATTATTATTGCTACTATTGCTCTATTTTAAATGGCTGTTTTGGGTCATGTTTAATATTTTCATTCCTCAGCCGCTCCGTATCTGTCACACAAAGGTCCTGCTGAAAGAAACAAATGAGCTCCTCTCACACGAGTGTTCAGGTATGTTATGAGCGCAGATCTGTGTTTAACCTTCATATATGAGGCTGTTTCTTAATCTCACTTCATTATGGCCTTAATAACGAGGTTGATTTGCATAAATGCGTCATTCATTTCAAGCTGTTATTATATTATACTATGCTCTGTCCCTTTAAAGCTTATGTTAATTAAGCAATAGAACACGAGAGGGAGTGTGTTAGTGCGAAATAACATCACGGCTGTGATGATCTACGGTGACCAAATCACAGCCGTGATGTTATTGGTGATAACAGGCTCCCTCTGTGTTCTACTGCTTTTATACAACAGTTAACAGTTCTTACAGCTGCTGTTACTTTATTCCTACTTTTGTATGTTACATCAGTTTTAATGAAACATTTTAAGTGACTATAGTATCATATATAAATATAGCTATGAATAAATAACACTATTATTGTTATTGTTGTTGTTATTATGATGATTATCACACAGATGTTTTCCGCTCTCCCCTCAGTGGAGCCGCCTGTAATTGCTGACCCGCGTCCGCCGTGTCTGGGCTGCCCCATCGACATCGACGTGGAGAGTGAGGATATCAGAGAGTCTCTGAGTTATTCTCTCTCCAAAGCCAATGTGGCGCACAACCACACGCACTTCTTCATCCTCAACACCGTCGACTCGGCAACCAGGCAGGCAAGTCGTCTTATAATAAAGGCGACAAGTTATTAATGCAAAACAATGAACTTTCACATGTAAAACCAGAATTCTAAGATCTTATAATTCAGGTTTTACTCAGTAGATGGAATTCATGGTTTTTCCCCATTCAGTTTCAATGTGGAGAGCAATTTTTTATCAGTATGAATCACATTTTTAACACTGTAATTCAATTTGTATGTAAAAGTTACACTGAGATGTTAAATTTCTTATTATTATTATCAAATTCTAATTGACTTCTTACTAGTGGAGGTGCTAAATGTAGCTTTATGCTAAAAACATGCTAAAATTTAGTTTTCACATGAAGGCTTAGCTTATCTTACATGTGGCAATTACAGTTTCAATGGAAAGAACTCAATTCAAACATATTAATCAGGTGAATCGCCATGTTAAAACTTAATTAATACGACACACTTGAAAAACATGGTTCTTCAAGGGTTCTTTAGTGATGAAAATGGTGCTATATAGAACCATCAACACTCAAAAAAGCATTAGCATGATTATAGAGTTCTTTGCATCATGAAATGGTTCTATATAGCACCAAAAAGGGTTCTTCTACTGGTACAGGCTTAACATTGTAACAATAGAAGAACCCTTTTGGGTGCTTTTCAAAAAGGTTCTGTATAGAACCATATACAACAGATTCTCCATCAATCTGAAGAACCTTTTCACGAAGCAAAGATCCCTTTAATCATGCGAATGGTTCATTCAGTGTTCGTGGTTCTATATAGAACCATTTTCTTTTCTTTTTTACAAGTGTAGTAAAAACTGTCCATTTCATTAAAATGAACTACTGTCTGTTATTAAAATGTGAATTTTACATTTTATATTTATACTTAGTTCAATCTGAATTCAGAGTATCTAGAAATATCTGGAGTAAAAATGTTTCGGAATAGAATAGAATAGAGTAAAATAATAACTGTTATAGAATAGAAAAGAGAATAGAATAAAATGGAATAGAATAATGCTGAATTAAACAGTAGAACAGAACAGAATATAATAAAAGATAATAGAGTAGAACTCAATAAAATAGACCAGAATTGAAAGAAATAGAACAGAATAGAGTAAAATAGAATATTTTCACATCAGAAGTTTACATTTTGTATTTATACTTCGTTCAATCTAAATTCTGAATATCTAGAAATATCTTGAGTAGAAATGTTTCAGAATAGAATAAAATAGAACAGAATCGAATAGGAAAAGGAATAAAACAAAATAGAATAAAACAATAGAATCAAAATGTTTTAGAATAGAATAGAGTAAAATAACTGTTACAGAAGAGAAAAGATAGAATAGAATAAAATGGAATAGAATAATGAATTAAACACAGTAGAACAGAATAGAAAGTAATAAAAGATAATGGAGTAGAACTCAATTGAATAGAACAGAATTAAAAGAAATAAAATAGAACAAAATAGAGTAAAACAGAATATTTTAACAGAATTTTACATTCCGTATCCTTATTTAGTTCAATCTGAATTCTGAATATCTAGAAACGTCTGGAGTAAAAATGTTTCAGAATAGAGTAAAACAGGAATAAAACGGAGTAGAAAAGAACAGAATATAATAAAAGATAATAGAGTAAAATAGAACAGAACAGAATTGAATAGAATGGAGCAAAACAAAATAGAACAAAAAATAGAATAAAATTGTTTTAGAATAGAATAGAGTAAAATGATAACTGTTATAGAATAGAAAAGATAGAACAGAATAAAATGGAATAATGTTGAATAACAGAGTAGAATTCAATAAAATAGAACAGAATTGAAAGAAATAGAACAGAATACAATAAAATAGAATATTTTCACATTAGAATGTTACATATTTATACTTAGTTCAATCTGAATTCTGAATATTTAGAAATATTTAGAGTAAAAGTGTTTCAGAATAGAATAGAATAGAACAGAACTGAATAAAAAGGAACAAAATAGAAGAAAACAATAGAGTGAAAATGCTTTAGAATAGAATAGAGTAAAATAATAACTGTTATAGAAAAGACAGAACAGAATTAAATGGAATAGAATAATGTTGAATAACAGAATTGAAAGAAATAGAACAGAATAGAATTCTGAATGGAATTCAGATTGGTTCAATCTGAATTCCAAATATCTAGAAACTTCATTCTGCAGCTGGAGCTTGTTTCAGTTTTAGTTGTAGATATTAACATGTTTTTAGTTCGTATTTCAGCTGAATGGCCTCAAGGTTGATTCTTTAGACAGATTTGTTTTGATTGGTCACTGACCGCAGTGGCCTCACCGTGTACACAGTCTGCTCTGAGTTCACTGTAAAGGGAATCAATGCGGTGCTCCGTGTCTGTGTGCTTTTCAGGTGATCGCCGGGTTCAGATATCGTCTACGGTTCGACATGCTGAAGAGCAACTGCAGCAAATCTGAATTCAAAGAAGTGACCGAGGAATGCCACGCAGACGAGAACGAAAAGGTAAACCTGGAAATGAGACACTTTTCACATAATACATAAAATAATGTTGTAAACATTGTTATTAACGTTCACTCTAAAGTCTGTACATAAAAACTAATCTAAGTTATACGCTGAATAGAACAGAAAGGAACAGAATAGAATGGAGTAAGACAAAATAGAATAAAACAGTAGAGTAAAAATGTTTTAGAATAGAATGGAGTAAAATAATTTAATAAAACTGTTACAGAACAGAATAGAAGAGATAGAACGGAATAAAATAATGTAGAATAAAACAGAATATAACAAAATAGAAAGTAATAAGACCTAGTAGAGTAGAATGCAATAAAATAGAACAGAATTGAGTAAAATAGAATATAATTCAATAGAAAGAAATAAACTAGAACCTAATAGAATAAAATAGAATAATATAGAATAAAACACAACAAAACAGAATAGAACAGAGTGTATCACCATAATAGAAAGCAATACAATAAAAAATAATACAATCAAATAGAGTCAATAGAAAACTATAGAATAGAAAGCAAAATAGAAAAGAGTAGAATATAGTAAAACAGAATGAAGTAGAATAGAATAGAATAGAAAAGAAAAGAAAACAATAAACCAGAATAAAAAAGAATGGAACTAAATAGAATAAAATGCAATAAAATAGAATTGATAGAAATAAAATAGAACCTAACAGATCAAAATAGAGTAATGTAAAATAGAATACAACAGAATAGAATAGAAAAGAAAAGAAAACAATAAACCAGAATAAAAAAGAATGGAACTAAATAGAATAAAATGCAATAAAATAGAATTGAAAGAAATAAAATAGAACCTAACAGATCAAAATAGAGTAATGTAAAATAGAATACAACAGAATAGAACACAATAGAAAAGAATAGAATATAAATATAATAGAATGCAATACAGGAGTAAAGAAAATAATAGAATGGAAAAAAATAGAATAGAATAGAATAGAATAGAATAGAAAGCTAAACAGACTAGAGAAGAGTAGAATATAGTAAAAAGTATTTAAGCAAAAAATATTTTCACAGTATAAATAAACACTTTGGTAAATAAACTCAAACATTCTGTGTGTATTTTGTTTAGACGTACATCAACTGCAACTCCACTGTCGATGTCGCCCCCTGGAGGCACGAGATGCCAGAGACGCACGTGCAGTGTGCACCAGGCCTGTTACCGGGAACGGTGAGGCTTTACGATTCACTTTCAACACCTCAATCAATATTAAACAGGGACGCACGATCGGAATCGGCCTGGACCCGAATCTGATTTTTGCTCCAAACATGCAATTATCAATAATGCAGTTGCACTGCAGTGATGCAATTATCACTGCAGTTTTATGAAGTGATTAACTTAAGGCAGATGCACCTTCAGCCCCAGTGACGTCACGTGCACGTGCACTCTCTGCCACAACGGCAGAAGCAGCACAACGGCACGGTAACATTTGGCCGCTGCTGCTTAGCGACATCATCACTTAGTCCATTTTTCGTCCATAACACAGCTGGAGAGTTACATTTAATGTACCTCCCTGCAGAAAAAAATCATAGAACCCATTAAAAGTGTCTGGTTCCTGGTGGTTTTCAGTGGTCGCGGGTTGATATCACAGTGTAAAGGACTCTGATGGTTTAATCAGGTCTTCTGGGATTGATTCCACATACATTTGATCGTTTCCTAATGGCCTCTAAAACCATCAGGTTTTATTCCTAACGGCCCTGCAAACACAGTTACGCTGTGACATCGTACTGTTTCGGTGCCCACAGCGTCGTCTGCTTGATGCTCTCTACATTGTCACACGACACGTTGTAACAACGTTGAGACAGCAAAAGTAATCAGTACCACGTTGACTGTATGTTGTCAGAGCCTCCTAGAATCCTTAATGAGTTCTATTTTAATCAATATTACAGTTTTTAATCACCGGTTCTGATCGTCTTCAGCTTGGCTTTCATGAGTTTCAGTAGCCTTTTTTTTCTGCGAATAAACCCGACATTCATGTCTGATCACTGCGGTAGGTTTTATATTTAATTACCCTATTATCAGTATGGCAACGTCATTAATAGGCTGGCGGTGCATGTCTGCAGCATTTGTGCTGTATTTGACTGCTTCTGCTACAGCTGCACCAAAATATTGTAGCATAATGAAACACGACCCACTAAACAGCCAGTCGCCCGGTTCTTTCAGTGAAGAACTTCATCTGACTCGCTATTTAAACAGGCTGACGAAGTTTTACCCATTAAACTACATACCGTTGTTAATACTGTTAACTGTCGCCCCGTTTTTGCCCGAAACAGCCTATCCAAAGTAAAAGCAGCACTGTTCTTACATACTTTGAGCTACCGTCATGATTTTGGTCAACACCCTCAAGATTATTTCCCATCGGTCAGAATAACTGAGTCTAGAATGGAGGAGTTCATTTCCGTCTGACTCATAGATCTCTAAACTGATCTCTGACTCTTGCCCTGTTACCGCATGTTTGGATTATTATGTCTCTGAGCATTGAGGCTTTGAAGGTTTGCTGGCGTTTGCTCATTCGGTACTTATGTAATTATGTAAATGAGACGATTGTAAATGCTGTGAATAACGGATCATAAAATAGTTTGTGGGAATTGAATCCTCAGATTTCAAGCTTTCTAACGGTTTACTGCAGCACCGCATTGCAGGACGATTAGGCTACGTTCACAGGTTGAAGTGGCACAAATCCGATTTTTTGCCCTAATGTGACTCAGATCAGATGTTTTCAGGGCTGTGTGGACACAAAAATCTGATCTTTTCAAATCTGACCTGAACCACCTTCATATGTGGCCCTAGATCGGATACGTATCTGATTCGTGGCCGTGTGACCTTAATGTGACGCTCAGATCGGAATTCATGTGCTTTTTTTCCACTGCGCCATCATTCAGCGTTACCATGGCAGCAGCGCCGAACAGAAGTTAAAGCCTGTAAACGGTGGAAAAGCAGCTCATCTCACCTTTTTCTCCTTCGTCTCGCTCTAATAATGAAGCTGAGAGCTGATCAGAGTTAATGATCTTCTCAGCGAAGCTCGTTCTGCTCGTTAGTTTGTGCTGATGATGAACGTGATTCATTCACGTGACGTTACTGAGTAGGATGAGCTCATGAGGGTCATTTCAGGACGCCGGTTCATCACTTTAATGACAGATTTGAGTCACTTACCTAAACGAGTGTGAACCATCGTGTCAGAGAGATCGGATTCGAGCAAAAAATCGGATTTGAGCAACGAGGCTTGTAATGTGAAGGCAGCCTTTGATGCATAAAAATGATGTATAATAGACTAGAAGTAAATGCTCTGATGAAAGTGTGCCGGTACTGGAACAGCGATCCAGATAAGGTTAATAGAAAGTGCTGGGAATGTTATTGTGTGTGTCATTTAACCCGCATAGAGCGAAAAAGGCTAGTTTGTCTGTAAAGGAATCTGCAACAAGAATTCCTGGTATTATAGTGATAGTTTGGCAAAAAGTCAAATTTACACTATTTTCTCCATTAAACCAAATGTAGTCGATCAGGCACCATCTTTAATTTTGCACTTGAGGCTACAGCAGCTAACAAGTAATAGTAGCTTATAGCTCGCCAATTAGCTCGGCTAAATCAGCCTCAAAGCAGGTGGAGGTGTTCAGTATTTCTAATAGACTTGATTATGTGGTTTCTGACACTGTATGGACTAAAGTACATTAGCTTGCACTGCAGCTTCTGTTACTTGTTAGCTACATTGGCCTTGTAGCTCCAGTGCTAAAACTCAAGAAGTGAACTTCAGATGTCAAATCCATTGCAGTTCATACTGCAATACATTCTAAAAACATGTATTTCAGAATATTTTGCCATCTTAACCAAATATATTTTAAAATGCACTTATTATAAAATGTATGTGGAAATATTACACATAGAAATGTACCACAAAAATAAATGTATGTCAATGTTTTTATCAAATATATGAAAATATCCAAATTCCTGTCTGATGCGCTTCACGGTCTGATACCTTTAGAAATGAGTTTGTGTTCCAGTATCTTCATTTTAAATATGATCAAATGATCCTTTATCAGGACAGAAGCGAGTGTTGTGGGTATTGATACTCTGTGAAAATGCAGTTATGATCTGATATCTTGTTTATGTGAAATACATTGTGTGTGAGAGTCTGACTGCAGACGTACATGGTTAATGTAAAGTACAGTGCAGATCACTGAAGTCGGTACGTTTAGTTACATCTGGAACCTTCATTACAGCAACTGAACACAGATAATAACTAATACTAATAAATGCATTTTGAAAATATATTTAACCAGTACATTTTTTTGGCCATTATCATACATTGCAAATATATATTTGGAATATATCGCTGTTGTCGGAAGAAAACCTTGTATCTCCAAAACGGTAACTTTACAGGAGAAGGAAAAAACCTACTCTACTTTCAGTGTAAGTCAATGGAACCAGACTTTTCTCCAAGTGATTTTGGGCCGTTTCTTTTGGTCCATTCTTCATGAAATTTACACACAATGTAAAGAACAACAGGCATTTTCAAATTATGTCAAAAACGGAAAAACGTCAAAAATGGAGATAGAAGGATTTCTTCCGACAGCAGTGATATTGTTTTTCCATATGGATTGGCTGACCAACTACATTTGAGTGTAAATTAGATTTTTGGCCAAACTATCACTGTAATATCTGCCTTGTTGGTGTATGATGCTGAGAATCTGTTCGTTTCAGAGGTTCGTGGTGAGGAGACGTCCTCCAGGCTGGTCTCCTTTGAGGAACATCCACAACTTTGTAGCTGTGACTCCAACTAAGCCACCTAAGAAAGACGATTCCTCAGAAGAATCCCAGGAAGGCAAAGCGCCCACCGGTGCCCCCACAGCAGAAGACCAAAACCCAGCTCCGCCTACAGGTCCCCCGCCACCACCAAAGCCCCCCCGCCCGGACCCCCCAGCCATCCCCACTGCTTCCACCAGCTGCCCCAGCAAACCCTGGAAGGCGTTCAACCCCATCATCGCCAGCCCTCCACGTCCACGTCCACCTCCACCTCCCCCCAAAAACAAAACAGAGAGGAGCCTCAGCAACGCAGATCTGTTAGCGTGAGTGTGTAATAAAGTCCTACGAGATCTGAGACACGGAATCTGTAGTTTTCCCTCCACGGTCCATCGTCCAGCTTCAAATTCCTTCTTCTGTTATGGAATACTGAATAAAGTGTTGTTGTCATGTCTGTGTACTTATTACGCAACATTACAGTAACGCAGGATATATTATTAAGCACTGCAGTAGTGAAACGGCTTCTATTCTGCATTGTTTTTTCATTACAAATGATATTATAAGCATAAAACTTTGAATCTTTCAAATATTTACATGAATTTACAATTTTCTTAGTGTCCATCGCTCTTTTGCTTTAGTAACAGTGTGCACTTGAGCTCACACGACTCAGATCACTAACAGCGACAAAAGAAATGCAGAAAAGTAACCAAAATCTAACACTGTAGGTGAATGTGGGTTCACTATTTGGCAAAGAACAGGTCACAGTTGCCCTTTTTATCAATGTGTTTTAACTGTTATTATTGATTTTTAAGGTATTTAAATTTTAAACCATTCATAAGTCTTCTTTTAAAGCGGTACTTAAGATTTGACCTTACTGGAGTATTAGTGAAATTGAACACTTGTACATTTGCACAGTTAATTTTCTTAAAAAAAAAAGACTTTTACGCCTTAAATTTTAATTTAGATCTTTGAAATACTCTCAGAGACCTTTAAGGAGTTTTTTCTCTTTTTATTGTTATTAATAATTCATCCGATCTGAGTTGAAAATAAAACAGCCCACAACTATACCAGTTTGTGTTTCATTAAAGTACATTTTTGGCTCCGTACTTCCACTTTTATTGAGTAAAATTAGGAGAAAAGTCCAGAGCAAAAAGATTTTCCAATGTCGATTCACCATTTACACTGTACTTTAGTCCAAGACTAGGCTTAATACACATCTGGGAAACCAGTAGAGATACCAAAAAAATCAGTAGTTCACAATCCAGTCCTTGTTTTTGTGTTGTTTGTTAAACCGTTGAAGGCTGGATCATCAGGATCTGTGGTGTTGACCTCCAAACTATGCCTGAGATCCTGAGAATTAGTCTATTAAATCACAAGAAAAGTGGAGAACACTGGCTCCAGAGAGGCCTTGTGTGTTTTTGCGTTGAAGTGGCTGCCAGTGCTGGCTAACCATTTTGACCCTGTTTACATCTGGTCACTTCATGCATTTTGAGTATCAGGATTATATCTGGATGAGGCATTTCCACATGAAAATGCAAGTGTAAACACACCCAGGACGCATTTAAAACACATCAACAGATTATCAACAAATCTGATCACTCAAACAACTTCAGGAGGTAGACTGAGATACATTTGAGCCACGTTATAGTGTAACTCCACCCAGTATAATTAAAACCCCTCCCAGTGCACCTAAAACGCCTCCCAATACAACTGAAACTCCTCCCAGTACAATCAAAACCCCTCCCAGTGCACCTAAAACTCCTCCTAGTACAACTGAAACTCCTCCCAGTACAACCAAAACTCCTCCCAGTACAATCAAAACCCCTCCCAGTGCACCTAAAATTCCTCCTAGTACAACTGAAACTCCTCCCAGTACAACCAAAACCCCTCCCAATGCAACTAAAACCCCTCCCAGTACAACTGAAACTCCTGTCAGTACAACTGAAACTCCTGTCAGTACAACTGAAACTCCTCCCAGTGCAACTAAAACTCTTCCCAGTACAACCAAAACCCCTCCCTGTGCAACCAAAACTCCTCCCAGTACAATCGACACTCCTTCCAGTACAACAAAACTCCTCCCAGTGTAACTGAAACTCCTCCTAGTACAACCAAAACCCCTCCCAGTACAACTAAAACCCCTCCCAGTGCAACTGAAACTCCTTGTACATTTGCCCAGTTAATTTTAATTTTATAATTTAATATATGCAAAAATCTCTACAATCTCTCCATCATCTAGAAAACTCAAGGTTTTTCTCTCTTCTTATACTTCTTATACATTTCCTGCTATTTCATCCCACGTATTACGCACTCTGGAGCTACCGGTAATAAAACTGATCTGAAACAGAAAAACCAAACCCTCCCAGTACAACCCAAACCCCTCCCAGTACAACCAAAACCCCTCCTAGCACAACTGAAACTCCTCCCAGTTCAAACAAATTAAGAACCCAAATTTTTGACAGATGGAGGATCAGACTTACTATTTAGCACAAGAAAAAGTGAGGGAGGCTGAATCCTCGTCATCAAAGAAGCGAAAACATGACGAAGCCAAAGAAAAATTGGGACAGGCGACGACAGAAAAGATGACGACCACCGTAGGTTCTACTACATGCTTGGTTGGTTGTAATGTGCACCCTCACCACTAGATGCCACTAAATCTTACACACTGCACCTTTAAAGAGATTCGGTCGGAGTGCCATTAACAAGAGATATATTAACACTCATAGAAAGCCTCTCAGCCAATCCGATTGCAAGGTCACAACTAACTGTGATAATATAATTTAATACATACAGAAATCTCTATAATCTCTCCATCATCTAGAAAACTCAAGGACGTTTTTCTCTCTTCTTATACGACATTTCCTGCTTTTTCATCCCACGCATTACACACTCTGGAGCTACCGGTAATAAAACTGATCTGAAACGGAAATAAAATTTGTGTTCCATGTTAAGGTCATGTGGTCAGTTGTCCAACCTGGGAGTAAAATTGAAAGGTTATATTTGACCCTCTAGTCTAAACTTTCTGATGTCCAGAGGTTAAAAGAAGATGAATGAGCGGTTTAAATGGTCCGGCACGCGGCCTGCACCGTTTGTCCTGTAGCAGGATGTGTGCAAATGAGGTCATGACCTAATCGTGTCCATCTGACCCTGCTCTGGACCTTCTGATGAGTGTTAGTGGAGTGATGTCACAGAGAGGCCTATAAAAGTTGGAGATGGCCAGTTTGACCATAAGCTGCATCTGTTCAACACCTGTGGCTGTCAAAGAGACCCGAGTTCTGGACACCATGCTGAGCGAACGTCTCCTGCTGTTAACGCTTACCTGCTACGTCTTGGTCTGGTCAGTTAACTGCGATGATTTCATGGAGGTCCGTTCTGCGGAGGAGGAGAAAGAGCTGGTAAGAGTTTCTTTAATGAGGAATTTTACTTATATTTAGTGGAATTTCAATGGTTTCTATTGTTGGTGTTAAGGGTTCTTCAGTGAAGACAATGGTTCTTTATAGAAACTTGAACACTCAAAGAACCCTTTACATGCTTAAAGGGTTCTTCGCATCATGAAAGTGTTCTTCAGATTGATGGAAAATGTGCATTAAAGTGCTATAGACAGTTCTATATAGAACCTTTTGAAAAGGGTTCTTCTATTGTTACAAGCTTGACATTGTAACAATAGAAGAATGCTTTTGGGTGCTACATAGAACCATTTTCATAAAAAGGTTCTATATAGAACAGTATATGTCGTATATGGTTCTATATAGCACCTAAAAGAGTCCTATATAGTGTCAAAAAGGGTTCTGCTATTGTTACGGTGTCAAGTTTGTCACAAAAGAAGAACCCTTTTGAAAAAGGTTCCATATAGAACAGTATATGTCATATATGGTTCTATATAGCTCCTAAAAGGGTCCTATATAGTGTCAAAAAGGGTTCTGCTATTGTTACGGTGTCAAGTTTGTCACAAAAGAAGAACCCTTTTGAAAAAGGTTCCATATAGAACAGTATATGTCATATATGGTTCTATATAGCACCTAAAAGAGTCCTATATAGTGTCAAAAAGGGTTCTGCTATTGTTATGATGTCATGTTTGTAACAATACAAGAACGCTTCTTGGTGCTAAATAGAACCATATACAGCACATTCTCTATCAATCTGAAGAACCATTCAACCATGCAAAGAAATATTTAATCATGCAAAGGGTTCTTTGAGTGTTCATGGTTCTATTTAGAACCATTTTCTTTACTAACCCATGAATAACCATGTTTTGTAAGAGTGTGTGGTTCTTTACTGTATATCTGAGTGTTTTATCTGCTGTGTGTGTTGAGGCTGTGAAAGGTAATGTTTAAGTAGCCGTATCTTGATGTCTGATCAATTCTATCCTAGAAGCACAACGAGTCATTGTTTGGGTCCCAAATGAATCTGAGCTGTGTGTGAAATTAGGGGGCATCAACAGAAGCGATTATACCCTTATATTTACACCGATCAGGCATAATGTTATGACCACCTCCTTGTTTCTACGCTCATTGTCCATTTTATCAGCTCCACTTACTATATAGGTGCACTTTGTAGTTCTACAGTTACAGACTGTAGTCCATCTGTTTCTCTGATACTTTGTTAGCCCCCTTTTACCCTGTTCTTCAGTGGTCAGGACCCCCATGGACCCTTACAGAGCAGGTACTATTTGGGTGGTGGATCATTCTCAGAACTGCAGTAACACTGACGTGGTGGTGGTGTGTTAGTGTGTGTTGCGCTGGACTGAGTGGATCAGACACAGCAGTGCTGCTGGAGATTTTAAAACCCTGTGTCCACTCACTGTCCACTCTATTAGACACTCCTACCTTGTCAGTCCACCTTGTAGATGTAAAGTCAGAGACGATAGCTCATCTGCTGCTGCACAGTTTGTGTTGGTCATCCTCTAGTCCTTCATCAGTGGTCACAGGACGCTGTTGGCTGGATATTTTTGGTTGGTGGACTATTCTCAGTCCAGCAGTGACACTAGCCACGTTTACATGCAGCCTGATAATCCGTTAATAATCCGACTAATAGCTCAATCGGAATAGAATACGTCCATGTAAACACCTCAATCGGAGTAGTCTAATCCGATTGAGGCCATTCGGAATACAATTTCTATCCGATTAAACGAGGTGGGTAAACTTCTAAATAATCCGTTAAATAGAAGAATAATAGCCATGTAAACGCCTGAATCCGATTACATTCCAATCGGAACGTGTAAGTATGTTCTGCGCATGTGCGTCGCGTCACGGCGAAAGTTTACACCGCTCAGCATGGCGGAGCAGAAACTGGTCTGGACCTCACGTGATGTTCGCTGTCATGGTAACGTTTACTCTAAGAGCTACTCCACGCATGCGCGTCATTTTGCATCGGATTACTTGTAGTGAGCATGTAAACGAAGATTGTTGAATAGAGTGCATATAAACACCTCAGTCTAAATCTGTAATCGGATTGTATTCAGTCGGATTGGCAAAAATCGTTGCATGTAAACATAGCCACTGAGGTGTTTAAAAACTCCAGCAGCACTGCTGTGTCTGATCCACTCAGACCAGCGCCACACACACTAACACACCACCACCACATCAATATACACAACAACAGCACTGTTTAAGGTAAACCTTTGCTTTATAAGTACTTGACGACCAAATTACCACCGTGAGTCTTATTTAGCACCAATCCAGCGGCCCCTCTTCTCACACTGGGGCTGAATCGCAAATGGCTCCCTCCTCCCTACTTAGTGCACTACGTAGGAGTTTAAATACTGGATCCTGCAGCCCAACAGAACAAAATACAGCTAAGAAACAGTCATTTGGGACTCAGACACATCCACACTCGATAAATGATGCACTGTTTGACTGTAGAGACTAGAATATCTAAACTTTCATAGCTAGAACACTATTTAGGGAGTACGAAGCCGTTTGGGACAGGGACATTTGAAGCGTGTAAGACATTAAAGTGACATTTTTAGACTTTTATACTGCTGTTTTTCAGTGAATCATACTGTAAGTGCTTTAATTCAAGTCTGTGACATGAATGATGGAGCTGTTTAGGCTGTTTGCCATCTTTTAGCCTGTTAGCTAGCTGACCAGCCTGGTTCTAGATAAGAAAAAAAAACTGTCAGGTCCTCGGTTTAAACAGAACCGAGTTCTTACTTCATCATTGCACTCGGAGGTCCATGTGAGCAACATTAGAGTCAAAGATTATTTGACATTAACAGCACAAGGATTTTTCATGTCGTGGCGCAGTGACAGAGTTCAGCTTACAGATATTCATGCCTAGACGCCGCATTGGGTCCAGCCAGGCACGTCAACGGCGCCGCCATTTTGGGGCGGTCAACATCGCTGCTGAACTGCATTCAGTACCATTACAGAGCGGCAGTTTATTAAAGATTCTGTCCAAAATTACACTATTTCAGGAATATCACACTCAGAAAGTGGGATAGGATTATATAACGGAGGGAACGCAGTGATCCACACTCATGTCTGTGTGATGTTTGTGTAGATAAGGTCGTGTGGTTAATGAAGCACAGAGAACCTGTTGATGTGATTGTTTTTCCTCTGGTTTTATATTAAGCTTCATTTAATAGTCTATTCAGGATCTTAACTCTATGTAGTAGTTATTTATTTACAGTGATGGTTGAAGCTTTGTAGCTGGGTAAATTACAGCATTCCTTAATCCGTGTAGATATTCGTAATAGATTAACGTTCACACCTTTTTACACAAAGCTGAAGTTAGCTTCCTATTCGCCAGTTTCTTGTTCGAATTTTCCCGTTCCACCTTAAATGACGCAGCCTCCAGAAAGTGACTGCTGCACCGTTTAAGGTGGAACTCGAACAAGAAGCTGGCGAATAGGAAGCCGACTTCAGCTTCGTCCTTCTCACTGAGTTTTGGGGGTTTATTTTATTTTCTGTGTATTAAGTGTATTCAGTGATTCACACACTGATGGATTTGCTGATGTGTCTGATTGTGTTTCTCACGCTAAACTCGGTTTTTATCGTCAGGTCCAGACTGAACACTTTCCTGCTGGTCTGGACGCCAATTAGCACGATCAGTTATTAAAGTAATAAAAGCTACCGAGAGCAGCTCTCTGCGTTCCCTCCGTTATATAATCCTATCCCACTTTCTGAGAGTAATATTCCTGAAATAGTGTAATTTTGGACAGAATCGTTCTTAAACTGCTGCTCTGTAATGGTGCTGAATGCAGTTCAACAGCGATGTTGACGTGCCTGGCACGTGTATATATATATATATATATATATATATATACACACACACACACACACACACACACACATATATATATATATATATATATATATATATATATATATATATATTATATTCTGCGCCTTGAACGCAGTTAACAGTTGTGCAACTTTAGTAGCTTGAAACCTACATGGAACTACGTTGCACTTGAGTTGCACAATGTGAGGCACCCTGCAACTCTCTTGAAACTCAGCCCCAACAGTTGAAAGCGCGTATATATATATCTAGGGCTGCAGCGCTTTCAACTGTTGGGGCTGAGTTTCAAGAGAGTTGCAGGGTGCAGCGTAGTTCCATGTGGGTTTCAAGCAACTAAAGTTGCACAACTGTTAACTGCGTTCAAGGCGCAGAATTTAAATTATTTTAGCTGTTGCTCATCACTTTACATTATGGTAGCTCAAGTTTTGGAAAAATGATTGACAAAACACCATGTGTGTTTCTTTTCTTTCGTGAAAGTAATTTAGCTCATGGTCAAAAAAAAGAAAAAAAAAAAAGACTCAGTTTGCAAAACATTTTATTGTTACAGGTCTTCATGTTTACAGGCCTCATTTAAGCCAGTTAATTGATTGTTAGCCGATTAATTCACGATTAATCAAAATACTGTTTTTGCAGTCCTATATGCAACATAGCGGAATTAAGCTAAACACATTGGATATGATAATGATAAGATTTTGGTAAATAAAACACTACAGAAAGGATTAAGCCATGAAAATAAAGTATATTTTTAATCTTGTGTTTTACAGATTGATGCTCTTCAGGAGGTCCTTGAAAAACTGAGGAACAAACAGATCCCGTCCACTGAGAAGAGGCTGGGCTGGGTCCCTTCAGTGGGTCAACTGTTCATCTACGGATTTAAGGGTTCTTTAGTAAACACAATGGTTCTATACAGAACCGTGAACACTCAAAAACCATTTGCATGCTTGCATGGGGAAACGGTTCTTCAGATTGATGGAGAATGTGTTGCATCTTTTTGAAAAGGGTTCTAAATAGCACCAAAAAAGGGTTCTGTTATTGTTACAGTGTCACAATTCACCCTTTTTGGTGTTATATAGAACCATTTTCGAAAAGGGTTCTATGTAGAACCATATACAACACGTTCTTCATCAATCTGAAGAACCGTTTCACCATGCAGAGAACACTTCGATATATAGAACCATTTTCTTTACTAAAGAACCCTTGATGAACCATCTTTTTTTAAGAGAGTATGGATGCACAATAATTTCAGGATTACATTTCTATCAGGAGACAACTGTTAAAGGGGAATTTCACCAAATTTTCATAATTTCTTCACACTTTAAGGATGATGTCATTCAAAGAGGTTTGATTTGAAGTGCACCATTCTAGAGTCAGAATTGTTCACAGTGGTGGTGATAGGAAGCAGACGTCTGAAGAGTTTAACACTTCTGTAAGGTTTTGGCCTAAAATGTATTTTTAAAATCTATTCATGGTGGAGGGATACATGCAGGGTGTTGTGAGGCAAAATAGTCCCCAAAGAAAACGTATTATTTCAGATTTTCCACTATTTTCCACCATCAACATTCCATATAAACTCAGAAGACTCATGTAGGTTCACTGGTGGTTTTGGATAGTAAATAAAATGTCTATATTTGTGTTGTAGTCATGGCGACCCCAGGTTCCTATCACCACCACTGTAAAGACATCTGAACCATTTCACACCAAACCACTCTAAATCACTCTGTTTACATCTCACACACTTACGCAGAACTTTCTTAAAAATTGGTGGAATTCCCCTTTTGAAAAAACAGCATCTGACAGACTGACACTTCAAATAGAATTATTGTATTTTGGAAGAGCAGAATGTTTACTACCCTAAAGTGTCTGCATATATATATATACACACACAACTAAGCACTTCTGGATTAAAACATCAGACAGACGCCATAAATGTACATGTATATCTATTAAACCTGTCTCTGCTTTGTGTTGCTCAGTGTGAAGCTGGAGAGCAGTGTGCCGTCCGTAAAGGTGCGCGCTTTGGAAAGGTGTGCACCTGTCCTGAAGGAACCGCATGCAGCTTCTCAGCTCTACAGTGCTTGTGAGATGGAAGTCTGCTCTCCCGCTGGACGACTGTAGATAGCTGTATCCATAAATAAATGCATTTTATACATATCAGCCTTCTGTTGGAGTTTTTATGGTGTCTGTCACTCCGTGATCTGTGTCAATTTGAGTTGAAAAAAGCGCTGTGCAGTTTTTCATCACTAGATGGCGCCAAAGGTGCAGATGTGAGTCATGTGAGAGAACGTATGGTGGAGAAATGCCACTCAGTAATGTCATGTGACTGACGCTAGAGGGCGCGCCTGGGCGAGTTCAAAATGAATCTATGAATATGGAATTTTGCAAATTCACACTTTCTAAATGCTTAAACTGTTTTTACATAGAATTAATTCATTTCCTAAACACAGAACAGAATAAAGCATTTTAGCACTTCTGTTGTTTTAGTGCTTCTGAACTCCACTTGTAAGACTTTATATTTTCCACTTGTAAGTCTTTATGACGTCAGTGAGCGCAAATTGCTGTACTCAGCTAAGAGGTCATCAGCTTGTCAACCAATCATCTCCCAGCAGCAGTGATGCCAACCAATTGGCGCTCAGTAGCAGTAAAGCAAACCAATTGGCGCTCAGTAGCAGTAAAGCCAACCAATCGGCGCTCAGTAGCAGTAAAGCTAACCAATCGGCGCTCAGTAGCAGTAAAGCCAACCAATCGGCACTCAGTAGTAGCAATGCCAACCAATCAGCGCTTAGTATCAGTAATGCTCACCAACCATTCAAAGATTTTGGCTTAAAACATTTGTTTACATCTGTCCATGGTGGAGGGATACATGTAGGGTGTTGTGAGGCAAAATAATCCCCAAAGAAAACTTTTCAGATTTTCCACTATTTTAAAAATCAACAACCTATATAAACTCAGACTCGTGTTGGTTCACTAGTGGTTATGATGGTAAATAAAACAGCTGTATGTGTGTTGTAAACATCACTGAGAAATCCAGTTAGATCGCACCGTTTTGCTGGACGGCTAAAGTAGCACTGACACGAATAACTCGTTCCCTTAAACAAAGCACAGTACACCGCCTACTTTACAAATCATTAAGTTTATTCAAAATTTGTAAGTTTTTTTCTTATTCAACACATTCATGAAAAATACGGAAATGAACGTTAATCAACGTAGTTACACAGAGTCCAAATGCTGATATCTATAAACCTGACTTCGTCCTCAGAGGCGACGTTTAAAGACAGTACACCAGTTTACCAGTTTCTAAATACCCAAAACAGTTTGGGTAATATTTAATCAATCCATTACAATAGGCTTTGTACATTTATGCTAAAACACGCACCTAAAGCAAACTTAAAAAAAAAACAAAAATAATAACCATTTAAGGATACTTTAACAAAAGGATAAAAGGAAAAATGTATCTAGACCAACAGAGCATTATTCACGATATTCACATTTCAACCTCTCCCTCAACGGGAAAAACATGAAGATGCGCAGGGGTGCTGAAGGACATCTCAGACAGGAGGGCGGAGAGCCAGACAATCCGCCCAGGAACGACATACTCAACGCTTTCTGGAATGTCCAAAAGGCTCCGTTAGAGCAGACGCGTGAGGAGGGGGAAAACAGAGTCCGTTCAAATAGAAAAACAAAAAAACAGGGGTTTAATCATCAAATTTGATCTTCTTTCCTTGTGGCTTTGCAAATCCTCCACCTCCTCTGCCACCTGGAACACAAAGGTAAGAATAATCAAGATCAAAATTCAAGGCAAGAAAAGCAGCACGACTTCAGTTCCACTCCAGACACTTATAAATTCCATTTACGAACTAAAGAACTAAATTAACAATTCAATAAAACTCGCAAGGAACAATTTCTATTAATTCAAAAGTCAATTTACAAAAAAAAATAATTCTATATCGAACCACCTTTACTAAAGAACCCATTACGAACCACCTGTAAGTGTGTAGCTAAACTGGGAAAGCCTGCTTTGTGGAATACGCTTCTGGAAATTCCAGAAAATAAAAAAAGTTGGATTTGCATCTGAGTAAAGAAGCAAGGATGCGAATTGGGTTTCCGTCCATCTAACAGACACGCATTAATGTAGCTGTGCAATGTCGCTGTTTGTAGCTCGTGGGAGGAGGCAGGAGGACATTAACAGCTGTATAAAAAGCTGTACTGAGGCCGTTACGCTCTTAACGCAACGCAGAAAAAAAAAACGCATGAGAAAATGAGCTTGATGTGTAACGGCCTTGGATTTTATTGGAGTTCTACTGAAATTTAAGTGATTAGACAAGATCGGCAGTCTTGGGCCCAATCCCATTTCACCCCTACCACTCAGCCCTACCCCTCCGTCTAGGGGTAGGGTGTCCCGATTCTTGTTGAGATAGAGGGGTAGGGTGAAGTGTTAGGGCTACATGACCCTCCAAACAGAGGTTTTTCAGAGACTCCAAACGGAGAGATATGAGAAAAAAAGAAAAACCGGCAAGATGGGGAACAAGAGACCAAAGAAACCCACAAATGTGAGAATTTTCTGTTAAAAGTTCCAATAACCACTGTATTATCTTAGTCTGTTGTTTCAATGTATCATGGTCCTTTTGTTCATAATAAGCATTAAAACACCCTAGTAGTGCTGATGACTCGGTAGCTAGTTAGCTAAATTTCCAGTTCTACCTTAAATGTTGCAGCAGTTACATTCTGCCATCTCAGGCGTCAGAATTGCTGCTCCATTTAAGGTGGAAAGGGAAATTCTGAACAAGAAGCTGGTGAATATCTGACTTCAGCTTCATATCACTGAAGAATCAGTGGTGGGTGATAATAAATAATTGCCCCCCTCTTTGAAGGCATATGATGCCCTAAATGTAACTAAAGCCCAGCAGTGAGGAGCTGAACTTTACCCTCCTCTGCAGACTGGCAGGGTCGCCTACAGAGCAGCGCTGGTAGCTGTTAATGAAGTGATGCTCTTTTTATTTGAGGGTCCCATTTCAGAGGGAAGATTTCAACCACTACCCTGTAACTCAGTTCCAAGGGGCAACACTCGAAAACAAGGGGTAGGGGTAAAAATAAATGGGACTGGGCCTTTATTTAGGTATGAACTGCATGCATGTATTCATCATTAATGGTCTGGCGCGATTTTAATCTACACATTTATGTGCAGCTGTGATGCGGTCAGACTTATCTGGACCTTATCTGGATAGGAGCTGCCCGTTATGGCCAAGTGTCTCAGTCTTACCTCTGAAGCCTCCTCGTCCTCCACCGCGGTTTCCTCCTCTTCCTCCCCTGAATCCGCCGCCACCTCCTCGGCCGAAACCTCCCCGTCCTCCTCTGCCTCCCCTGAATCCGCCGCCACCTCCGAACCCGCCGCGACCCCCGGAACGGCCTCCCTCACCCTTCGGCCGGGCGTAGTCCAGCGTCACTCTGTTTCCGTCAACCTCGCCGTCCTCCATGGCCTCTTTGGCAGCTTTGCAGTCCTCCTCGCTGTCGAAGTCTACAAAACCAAACCTGAGAGAGAAGAGCTCGGGTTCATCATCTGAAACTACTGCAGAGAACATTCCAGAGGAGATCAGGGGTGAACGAGTGTCTCACATGAGGCATAGGCGACTCCCACCACAGAGGAGTGACCCGTTATACTGTGAACACTGCTCTACTTCTCGTGCGAATCCGTGCACTGTCACTGGTCAGACAGAGAGGAGCTCATGAGAAGAAACAGCAGGACAGTAAAAGGTGTATAAGAGCTTTAGTAGTTTTACCTGTCAGTTCTGCTGTGATTTAAGAAAGAGAAACATACAACCTTAATCCAGTCTGAACTTGCACTGCATGTACTGTTCATCAGTACGACTGAGCTCTAAAATCCAGCACTTTACTTTGAATAAGCTAATATTTATAATGATTACGCATCACTTGTTTTTCCACTTAAAGCACTTTTTTTTTAAAAAAAAAAATGTTATTTATATCTACACTGCAAAAAAACAAAAACAAAAATATTTTGTCACATGAAATTCTTAATTGTAGTTGATCTGTTATTTTGAGATGGTTGTGCACTTAGTTTTTTCTAGACATTTTTTTTTCCTTTTACTTTATCGACAATTCTCACTAGACTGCCAGGTAATTTTACTAGTTTCAAGTACGTTTCTTAAAACAAGCAAAATTATCTGCCAATATAGTGAGAAATTTTTTTAAAATCAAAGTACAAAATGTCGGAAAATAAGTTAAATACTCCTAAAATAAGCTTACAACAATCTCATTAGGAAAACTAGACTAGATTTTACTTGACAAGTTTTTTTGCAGGGTCTAAAGCATGTTGAAAGGCTTTTGTATGAAACATGCTACATAAACAAACTCGTCTTAGTGAGTAGCAACCTGCAATGAGTTGTTTTTACAGTAACAAGTTGTGATTTTAATCCTGTAGGAAAATTTTAGTGATGTGATTTTAATCCCGTATTAAAATATCAATACTATGCAAAAACTAATACAGGCCTGGAGTTTAGGCTATAAAAATGAACAAACTTTAGCTACAATCACAATATTGGTCATAAAAAAAATTGCAATTATGCATTTTCATTATTCAGCCCTCCAAGCATGAGAATCAGGCATGTCTGAGCAGGAAATCACTGAGCTGTGTAACATCATGGCTCTGCACTCGTTTAGTTCTGTTTGTTCAATTTATTTATTCGATGCTATTTTCAACTAATATTCAGTTGCGTAAAACACTAATGATACAACATCTAAAGTGAAATAAATCTGAAGAACGCTGCTCGGCATGATCAACCACAAAGCTACAAAAGTTGAATTACCCTTTAGAAGACCCCGTCTCCTTATCTGTGGCGATTCTGGCAGCGACAGCCCCATCAAACGCGTCCCTCAGCGTCTGCTCTGTAGTGTCCTCTGACAGACCTTTTACAAACAGTGTTTTTGTGGGACCTGTAGAGATAAAAGTTAGCAATGAAATACAAGCCAAGTTTAGTCTCAGAAGTCAAAACGGGTCCCAGTTGTTTATTAAAGGAAAGTTCACTGCAAAAACTGCAACCTTAGCCGACTGGCCAAGACACAATTAGGGTGTTTTCACACACACAAGGCTTTTCCAAAGCCAGGATCGCTTGCTCTGCAGGTTCGGTACATTTGGTTGAGTGTGAAAGCGGAACATGGAACCAGTTCTGGTTCTCCTGAAATTGGTGGTCCCGGTTTCCCAACTCTACTGTGGTCCACTCTGCGTGTGGAAGTTATCCGCTCCCAGCGCCGCCTGTTTGGTTCATTCTGTAATGTGACGGCTTCAACTTATGGTAATACGTCTCTTTTCAAGTTCCATGATGTCGAGAACCGTTGAGGACAAAAAGCCCCTATATAAGATGACGAGCCCCTCCCCCAAACGAGCCCAGACGCTGTATTACAGAAACCTCTTATCTTTTAGTCTTAAGTTATGATCTGACAGGTCAAGATAAAGATTTCACAAATTCGTATTACAGAAGCAAATCTGATCTTAATTTAAGGATCTTACAGCATCTTTTATCATCAAACTTACTCTACTGAAGTCCACAATCAACTGTCTTGTCAGTTACCTAGCAACTGACCATACGTGCACAGCTGCAACGTAAACATGTAATCAAGTTAGTCAGACAGTTAACGTTAGCTGCTGTTAGCCACTGGTGTTAAAAAAGTGTGATAAACTAAGTAGTGAATACAGTGAGAGCGCCCCCTGCTGTTTATCAGAGCGCCGTCGCTCCCCAGTTTCAGTCTCCATTTCCCAAACGCTTTAGCCGAGCGCGCTAACGTTACTCCTCCTAATAAACAGACACACGTTCAGCTCCGTCTCATTATTCACCACCATCACTGTAATATTTCATCATCAACATTAACACACGAAGGTGATCAGAGGGGCGGTGGAGATCGAGTCTGCAGCGTCTGAGATCTTTAAAACGCTGTTATGGAAAAAACCTCAACTCAAAGCTCCGTTTTCAGTTTAGATTAATGTGGCGTCATTATGCTGGTTATACTGAACTGTGCTGCCTCTCACTGTATAAAACAATAGAAACAGACGGTTAAACAGAAGTTAAGGCGCTCTGGAGTTTATCTTACAGTTAAGAAAATATTTAGGATATTTTGGCAACTTAGGATGTTTCTGTAAAACCGTTTTCTTATCTGGAAATAAGAGATGAAGATGAAGAACTTAAGAACTGTTGTTCTGTAACGTCTTCTGTCCGAACTTCAGTCTTAACTGAAGTTGCCATGACAACAAAGCAGATAAGATATGGGCTCAGACTTAAGAGTTTTCTGTAATGCGGCCTCAGAATCAGACCTGGGCGTGGAGTCGATTTTTCCAGGACAAGTGTGAAAAATTAAGTCTGAACTTTGAGTCTTGTTTTAACCTGGAGCTATGAGGCTAAAATAGCTTACAGGTAACAGACCGAAGTTTAGCTCTGGTGTAACAAAGAGCAAAATTCAGATACCAAACATGTCTCAGCCAGTCATCTGAGCGATTTTTCACTGAACTGCTCCTTTAAGGTGGTAACATTTCTGGCTATATGGGTCACCTGAGGAGCCTTTGCCACCACTGCTGTCTCCTCTGCTCTGGCTGAACTCCAGCCGAATCGTCCTGCCCTCCACTTCTGTGTTGTTGCACGAGTCCAGCGCCTCCTTCGCGTCATCTGTGCTCTCGAACTCCACGAAGGCGTAGCTGCAAACAAAAGACACATTCTTACTGATCTTCACTGAGGGGAGTCAATACTTGGGCCAATTTTCAAAATTACTTTCAAAAATAAACCAAAACAATACTAAAATAACCAATGTTGAAAATACCCATGAGATTTCATGATATACCGACTCGTTTCCTAAAGAATTATAATCTAACCAAATCAGAGATTCTCATTTAATGTAAATGAGCTCTGTTTTGATTGGCTGCCCTGTATTGCGCCTTCTTCAAAAAGCGCTCAGAGCTGTAGAATCACAATATTAATGTGCAGAGCTGCTGTAGGCAAATACATAAATAATAAATAAAATAAACAAATAAATAAAATTAAAATGAACACATCAAGTGTCTCACATGAGGCATAGGCGACTCCCACTACAGAGGAGTGACCCGTTATACTGTGAACACTGCTCTACTTCTCGTGCGAATCCATGCACTGTCACTGGTCAGACAGAGAGGAGCTCATGAGAAGAAACAGGAGGACAGTAAAAGGTGTATAAGAGCTTTAGTAGTTTTACCTGTCAGTTCTGCTGTGATTTAAGTGACTAGAAACAACATTCAACCTTAATCCAGTCTGAACTTGCACTGCGTGTATGACTGAGCTCTAAAATCTTTACGTTGAAGGCTAATGTTAATACTCACACCCCCTGACTAATTTCCTTTTTAGTTTGCTTTTTGTTTTTATTTTAAACGACTGGCACTATGTTTATTTTTTCACTCGTAAGCACGATCGTTTTCCTTTTGTTGCTTTTATTTATGAAATATTATGCAACTTATGTAAATATTATTCACTCATTTATGTAAAGCATATTGAATTGCTTTAGTGTAAAACATGCTATGTAACACAAATGAAGCTACAATGTGTTCAATGTATAGCCTGAAAGTAATAACTTGTGATTTTAACCCAGTAGGAAGATTTTACAGTGACATGATTTTAATCCTGTATTAAAATATCAATACTATGCCACAACTAATACAGCCTGGAGTTTAGTTTATAAAAATTATCTGACCTCAAACTTGAGTTGCAAATCACAATATTGGATATATATGGAAATTGATTGTGAAACTAAAAATTTAAATTAATAGGTCAAAATAGATTATAGCAATTACTTCACCAGGGTATAAAACATGATAAATACACACACACACAAGAAAGAAAATAAGTAAATATTAAAATAGACAGAAATAATTAAAAACAAACTTCAGATTCAGATAGATTGACAGATTATAGCAACTAAAAACTATTAAAACCTGGTAAATATACACAAAAGATAGACAAAAATAAATTAAAATTAATAGACTGAAATGATTAAAAACAAAAACTTCAAATTTGATAGATTGAAATAGAAATAGAAAACAAATACTATTAAAATATGGAAAATAGACATTTTAAAGAAACAGGCACACAAAATATTATGCAAATGAGTTGGTTCTTATGACGTGACGTAACAAACAATGAATTAAACTGGCTATTTTTGCAGTGTAGTGTTCGTACATGGACTGTTGACTTGAGAAGCGAATGGTAAGTTTTGTAACTTTAACGTTTACATATTTCAGACTCCTTTCAAACTGGTTTAAAAAGTGAGGGAATTTCAGTTTTCCATGATACCGGCCCTTTAAAGCTGTAATGAGGTTCCATCATAGTTTCATCAAACATACTGCTGGTATAAACAAACAAAACAACAGACCCCTTAGCCCGGCCGTTGTTCTGTGGTATTCTGATGCCGACAGCCTTTTCAAACACACTCTGGAGGGACTCTTCTGTGGCACTGAAGGCTAAGTTGTTTACAATCAGGACCTTGCTTGCACCTCCCGGAGCTGAAGAGAAAGCTGGAGAGAGGATCGAGGTAAAGAATAAAAATAGTTAGTCAGGCATTTGAAGTATCTCAATAATCCCACCTCAGTCACTACGCCAGATCAGTACTTGACTATCTTGAGGAACCACACGGTGTTTCAGGTGAAAAAGTTTCATCCTTTCTGGCCAGGAGAATACATACATTTATTTTTTTGAGAGTTTTTTTTTTGCTCACCTGCTCCTCTGCCACCCTGCTGCTGCTGGCTCTTCGCTCCTGTGAAGTCCACCATGATGGAACGGCCCTGAACATCTGAACCCTGCGTCTCCTCCAACATCTTCTCTGCGATCGCCTCAGTCTTGAACTCGATGTATGCAATTCTGTCAAGACAAACAACCATCAATTACCTGTTTGCAAGTGAAATGATCTTAAACTGATCAGATATTTGGGTTCTCCTTTATTTAGAAGGTCCACTGTAGCTGCTTACATTCTAGAGACAATTAAATACCAGCATTAGGCCTGATTCACACATGCTACATTTGCACGGCGTGAGCGCTACAGCTCAAATGTGCTGACCTTTCATATGTACAGCGTTTGTACTGTGGAACAGCGAGAAAGTTACAGACGAATAGATGGTCACATCAGTTTCTCTGCTCAATAAAAATATAAAAGTGAACAGTATGTTTGTTTATCTTAGACAGCATTCTGACTTGTGATTTGGCAAGAGTTGTAGATCAAGCGGAAAATCTGTCTGCAGCAAAAAATAAAAATAACAAAAAAAAAAAAAAGCTTAAACTTGTATACGGTTTTCTGTTTTTCATTTATTTTTATGGCTGGTGTATTTTGCTGCGTGACATGGACGGAAAAAAAAAATCTGCGCCTGGGCTATTCTGTAAATAACGCAATGCTTCAGTGCGTCGGACGCTCTGTCACTTCATACAACCTGTGTGAAAGCACTGACCAGTTAACACAGGCGCTGAAATGAAAACCAAGACTTTCCACACCATTCTCACTACGCAGAAGCAGCATGTGTGAATCAGGCCTTAGGGTTAGGTTAAAAGGTGAATTCCACCATTTTCCCCCAAAAAAATTCTGCACAACTAATATTTTGATTAAAAGATCTGATGTGAAATGCTCAGTTCTAGAGTCTAGAATTGTTCAAAGTAGTGGTGATAGGAACCAGACGTCCACCTCTAAAAGCTCCCTCACAGCAGTTATGAATACACTGCCCGAGACGCTGGTTTACAATAATCTCTTGGCTGAAACTTTCCACTATTTTACCACCAACCTTCAATATAAAACTCAGAAGACTCGTGTAGGTTCACTGGTGGTTCTGGATAGTAAATAAAATGTCTATATTTGTGTTGTAGTCATGGCGACCCCTGGTTCCCATCACCACCAGTGTAAAGACATCTGAACCATTTCACACCAAACCGCTCTGAATCACTCTGTTTACATCTCACACACTGAACTGTGTGGTTAGAGTAATAGTGTTAGTGTTAAAAGTTTAAGTGATTTGATTTTTTTCCATGTTAAATGTGCGCTAATACTTAAACGTCAGTCAAAGTCGAGGCGATCATCTACTGTGGACCTTAATAAAATAAACAGTGCTCATTACCCTCTGCTGGAGCCATTATAGCCCATAGGTATCCTGATGTCTATTGCCTGGTCAAAGATCTCCTTCAGCTCATCCTGTGTTATGGTGTATGGCAGATTCTTTACAAACAGCGTACGGGCGTCTTTCTCTGCAGGAACATACATAAAACACAACACAAACCAGAGACATGATCACCTACTGTGTTTATCAATTCATCATCAATGCTACAGATAGTGCTGCCAAATCAGTACTTGACTATCTTTTCAAACCCACACAAGAGTTTCAGGTGAAAAAAAGTGTCATCATATTTGGCATCGTGTAAATGTGGAATTCCATTTTTTGTAATTTTCTTTACAATAAATTTATTATCCACAATTAACAAAAATCCTATCCACCATTCAGAGCGGCTTGATGCTAAATGCTAAGTTCTAGAGAAAACTATTCAGAACTGTTCACAGTGGTGGTGATAGGAACCAGACGTCCACCTCTAAAAGCTCCCTCACAGAAAGTTACTACATGAAATGGTTATGAATTCACTGCCTGATGACTGAGACACTGTTTTATGATCGTTTTGAGAAGATTTCAGACTAAGTTGGACGGTAAATAAATGTCTATATTTGTGTTGTAGTCATGGCGACCCCTGGTTCCTATCACCACCACTGTAAAGACATCTGAAGCATTTCACACCAAACCACTCTGAATCTCTGTTTACAGCTTAAGTTGAAGTTATACAGAAATTTACAGAAAAATCTATTAAATACAACACTAAACAGTAGTAAGCTTAATAAAAAACAAAAATGAAAACAAAGAAAAAGACTACCTTTCTTGTTTTCCTGAGAGTTCTCCTTGCTTCTTGCTCTGTCCAGTTTGAGGGCCAGACCCATGCACTTCTTCCCGTTCAGAGCGAGAGCTTTCTGCAGCTCCTCTTCAGAGGCGAAGTCGACGTAACCGAACTTCCTGCAACAGCAAGTCACATAAATTCTTTAGTCACAAATTCACCCGACCGTAAGATTTCACTTGCAGCAAAACGTGCGATCAAATATTAAAGCTGGGCTGACACGACATGATTGTTTGCCTGATTTTAACACCCATTTGCCCCTTGCGACAAATTTTCACAATCTGAAGCGATTTCCCAGTTCGGGAGCTCAATCGGAAGCGACTGATGGGGTGGATGATCCGTAGAGTGAGAGGAGAAACGAGTGAGTCTTTAGCCCTCCAATCAAAACTCTGGAGTGATCAGAGATCCTCCGATATTATTAAACGTTTGATATTTACGGCTCAAAAACGTTCACGAGTCCTGAAGTGCGAGAAGGTCAGAGATTTAATCAATGAGTTACTCAAAGAGTAGCCAATCAGAGAGCTAGAAGAGCGGAGACAGTGGAGCTACATGTAAAGACAGGCAGATAAGAGCCGATATCAATGTTTATAATGTTGGATCCAGATGTCAGGTCGTTCTTGACAATTTTAGCTCAGCTCCCAGTTTGTAGTGCAATATGTCTCCAGCTCATACTGTGATATCAGTGTCTCTCAACCCCATTCTAGTCCCCAGTTTGTGCTTTTGCTACACACAAAAGCACAAACAGGTCCAGTAAGTTTTATTTGTGTCATGTGATCTGAGGAGTTTGAGCTCTTACAGCCCAAACTCATTGTGTGTTACACCCCTTTGCCTTGTCGTCTAGTTTACACACCTCACGAAAACTGTTACAAACTGACGTTAAGTTTGTGATGCTCTCCATTTTAGAAAGATTTTTTGTCGTTCAGTGCACACCGAGCCTAGGACCAAATCCATCAACTCACTTGGAGCCTCCAAGACGGACATCCTGAATGTCGAGACTCTCCTTCTTGAAGAACTTGGCGATAGCTTCCTTGAGTTCATCGAAACCTTTATCTGCGTTCAGGTTGCCCACGAAGAGACTGAAAGCTGAAAGATAAGAGCTCAGAGTCAGGAGCCAGTTTACCTGGGAAAAAGAGCAACAGCCATACAACTGCACTAAGTCAGAACAGTGAAAAGGTGACATCACACATCAGTATTAAGTCCCTTAATGATCATCACGCAGAGCACAAAGCCTAAAGCAGTGTTGCCCCATCCCAGTCACACATGCTGCTGTTTCCAGAGGTGCCAGTTCATGTCTAACCTCCCTGTGGCTCAAAGGCAATTTTTATCAGAAACACCCATCATACAGAAGCACTTTGGCGGACAGTTAAACACTGTAGTTCATCCGTTGCTGCACCACTAAATAGCCCCCATATCTTATTTATCAATGGGCAGTTTCTGACCACAAGACTGCAAATTATTTGGGTGGTTCAAGTGTATCAGACACAGCGGTGCTGCTGGGGTTTTCACACACGTTAGTGTCACTACTGGGTTCCAGTCAAGAGCAGTTCTGTGCTCAGAAAATGACCACTGATGAAGGGCTACTGGATGTCCAACCTGTGTATTAACAGAGGGACTACAGTCTCGAACTGCATACCAGTACGTGGAGGTTTAAGAGAGACAGTAGCAGCCAAAATTTTGACATATAAAATGAAAATTAGTTGTGTAATTGGTGTAACTTTAATAACAAAACTCAATCCGAAGAAAAGTTAAACTGGTCTACCAGATGAACGCGTATACCACCCACTACTAGACTGAGCAGTTTCCAATACAGTGGCAACTCTGCAAAAAGGTGCACAACTGGGATCAGGAGCCACTGGCCTACAGCCTCCATGCTGTCAATCTTACTTTCTCCATCAGCCTTGGCTTTCTTAGAAGGAGGAGTTCCCTTCTCCTTCTTATCCTCCGCTTTCCTCTTGCCTGGAGTGACAGGAGCAGCTGCAAATAACAAGCAAGCAGTACTTTGGGTTACAAGAGACATTTTAGATGATTACAGATTTAAAAAGAAAACAAAAACTCATTTTCTAAGGGTGTATTTCACACCTAAAAGCCTGTACCAAGGTCCAAACCAAGATCCATACCAAGAGCCATGTTTCTGTTACACTGAACACATTTGATCTGGTTAGTTTTGGTTTCACATTGTACCGTAGTGAGAGCACTGAAGAACTCTGCATGACACACCTGCATCCTGCATGTGGTCAGTTCAGCAGGCAGCCTTTTTACATATGAATGGAGAAAAATGAATATATTCTCTCTCTCTCTCAGAAAATAAGGTATAACTTTGGACCAAACAAGGCAGGTGTGAAAGCACTCCAAGGAGACAATCAGGTAAAAAAAAAAAAAATTCAAAATAAATAATGACAATAAGCAACAATGCTGTCAGAAACAGTTAACTGACACTGCAGTAAACCAACCAAACAGCCAAGTGAGGGGGGGGAATAAAACCCACTATTACCCTACAGAAATTATTACTCATAAGACAGCAAACTCTGACACTTTATAATATACCACTAATCTTATTTAAAGTTCTACCCTTTAAACTTATTTGCCATTTGAAACCCATTCTTATTGACTAAATTTATGGCATGTTAAACACACTTTAGGGCTGCAACTAACGATTATTTTCACTGTTAATTAATCTGTTGATTATTTTCTCGATTGTTAGAAAATGGTGGAAAAAAAAAAAAAGTTGATCACAGTTTTCCAAATCCCAAGATGACATCCTCTTGTCCACACTGCAAAATATATTCAGTTTGGTGTCACAAAGGAGTAAAGAAACCAGAAAATATTCAAAATTTAAGCAGCAGAAATCAGAGAATTTTTACCTTTAAAAAAAATTACAATAAAAAAAAAACAAAAAAAACTACTCAAACCAATTAATCGATTACCAAAATAGCTGGTGATTAATTTAATAGTCAACAACAAATCAATTATTTGTTCTAGAAAACGTATATTATTACCACCGACTAGCCCAGGAGTCGCAACCCAAATGTAAATTTTGTTCTTTCAGCGCAAAACCTTGGGAGCCACATCTTATATCCATTTTACCATCTTGGCTGTACATGTGTCTGTGCTAATACGCTAGTATAGGTTAAAAAAAAAAAATTGTAATGTACAAAACGAAATGTTTCTCACATCTCTGGCAGGAAACTTTCCAAAAGTAGAACAGTTTCTTATAAAACAACATCTCAATATTCAATTTTTTACGAGGCTGAAGTTGCTTCTCATTTGCCAGCCTCTTGTTAGAATTTTCCCCGTTTCACCTAAAAAGGTGCCTGAGGCGCCAGAACATAACTGCTGCACCGTTTAAGGTGGAACAGGAGAATCTGAACGACAAACTGACTTCAGCCTCACAACTTTAGTGTGTCCAGCTGGAGTGATTATAAAGGCAAATAAGCCCATTAGTCTCCAAATTATCGATGTTCGTCTTAAATCTTCCTCTTTGCCGTTTCGTTAGCTACTAGCTGGGCGAGACTGTTGTCTGTGTTACTATGGTGACCAGCAGTCTGCACTGATCTTCAGGGTTAAAGGGTGAATTAGCAGTTCTACATTAACTCCAGAGTTTAAGACCATTTATTGATAAAACTGTGTTGAACGATCAGCAGAGCTTTATTTTAACCTAAAAATCTGACCAGTTGACAGTCTTTGCCTTTTTCTAGTATCTTACTGACCATTTTCCTGATGTGTGGGTTCCTCAGACCTCAAAATACCTGAGATTCTTTGCTTGTTTTAAAAAAAGAGACTCATTTATTTGCAGGCAACTTCTGTCCTTCCTGTGCTTCTTATAACTACTTTTCAAATGGTTACCTTCTTCCTCTTCCTCCTCTTCATCCTCATCGTCGTCGTCTTCGTCATCCTCATCATCCTCCTCTTCCTCCTCCTTGGCCTTCACCATTCCAGCTTTTTTGGCAGGAGCGGGTGCGGTGTCCATTTCCTCCTCCTCTTCCGAATCTGCAGTGAAAACACGATGAGAACTGAAGCCGTGATCCACAGTGACAGCAGGAGCTCCATGGATGAGGAATCAGGCACATCAGAGCAAACAAATCAGCAAATCTTTTCAGTATTAAGTCCCTAGATGCTCATCACATGTGCACAATTACTCCACATCACCCCCCAAATCATGAGAAGTGCTGATGCCAGACACTGAAGCCCAAAATAAACGTGTATACACACCATCTTCATCATCATCCTCGTCATCGTCTTCAGATTCCTCCTTGGCAGCCTTTGCTGGAGCTGCTTTAGCTGCAGGTTTGGCAGCTGCTGCCTTCTTAGGGGGCGGGGCTTCCTCCTCTTCTGACTCATCTATTGCCAAATCAGAATAAACCACACCCTTTATTAATGCTGCATTCTGATATTTCTGAAAATTGTAAATGTACTGAAAGTAAACAAAAAAGTTTCACATTTCACGTTTTCTAAATATCAAAACATGGTTACTATTGCAATAAAAAATAAAAGATCACAGTCCGCAAAAAAATAAAAATAAACAAAAAGATAATTTAACCACCACTTGAGAGTGAATGGCTTCAGAAGGCTGAATAGGTGGCAGACGTTAACGTCAGGTTAGCAGCAGCTGTACGCGATCTTAATAGCTGCCACGATGCAGCCGGGAGCCAGACCAGAAACATATTTCACAGTAGTACACAAATGCAGATACCTTGGGCTACACAGACACGGATTTGTGCATCGTTTTGCTGTAAAATTTGTCAACAACTCAAAATGCAATCTACATCAAGCATTACAGCAAGGGGCAGCCAAGCTGTTCTGTTCTGATCTGTCCTCTATCGCCCCCAAGAGCACAGTGTTTTAACTGCCACAGTAACGTAAAAAAGCATGTTGAGTTTCTACAAAAGGACGATGCGTCTGTGACGCGTCCGTTGAGTTTGTGTATTTGCACCGAGTATGTTTCAGGCCTTAATGTGACATTGGTAACGATTCGCTTCCACTGTTTGAGAAGTTTAGCTTGTGTTCTGGCCGCCATTTAGACTTCACGATTAATCATGATTAATCACAACCCATCACTGTGAGCATCAATTAACTGACACCACTAGTTATTGCGATACTCTAGACACTAAAAGTGCATGGAATGGGGGCATTTGGGGGCAGGATTTAGAGAAAACCTGTTGGTGGAGGCTTGGTGGTAACAGCTTTCCACAGTTTCAGGTTGTCTCTGTGTGATCTCGCTACAAGATCATGTCTGGCCCTGTGAGACAACCTGCCGATGCAAACAAGTGGACATTTTCTGACTTTCAGGTCTGCAGTATTTTTTAAGTATCGTCAAAGATCTTATGATGCAGCGCAGACGGCTAATTTTAACAATTCTCCACAAAAAACTATGAAAATCTGGAGAGACCGATGGTCCCATAAGTGATCGACTGAAAACCCAATTTTGTATTCAAATGATTAATCATTTTACTATTTCAAACCTTCATCATCGTCATCATCATCGTCGTCATCTGATTCCTCCGCAGGGGCTGCTTTCTTCGCAGGTGTAGGTTTAGCAGGTGTGGCCTTAGCTGGAGCTGCTTTAGCGGGTGTGGCTTTCGCAGGGGTAGCTTTAGCAGGAGCTGCCTTTGCAGGTGTGGCTTTAGCAGGTGTGGCTTTCTTTGGTGCAGGAGGCTCCTCTTCTGCAATGAAGAAAAAGTGCACGTTTTAAATATCTATCACTAAAATCAACCTGACTGGAGAACATCTTGCCAGAAGGAATTATCCTATAACCTCATTATGCATTACTTCTGATTTACTGATACAGCACTACAGCATTTATCAAGCTGTACATCTATAAAAACAACGAAACGTTAAGCAGCAGCTCTAAACTGGGAAAGAATACATAATCACCAATACTGAATCAACCAATACTCTGAAAATCTAAACCTTTTTTGATGCCCAGCTTGCTAGTAAACCTTCACAAGAGCATTGCTCAGTAGCTTGTCTTGTCTGAGCTGTACATAATCTAATAAAAACCCATTTTATAAGTGGCAAAAAACCATACCAGAGTCATCATCCTCATCATCATCGTCGTCGCTGTCCTCCTCCTCAGCAGGGGCTGCTTTCTTTGCAGGAGTTGCTTTAGCTGCAGCAGGTTTCGCTGCTTTTGGTGGGGGCGCCTCCTCCTCTAATAATGAGAAGAAGGGAAAGAAAAAAATAAAAAATAAAATAAATAGTGTTAAATTGCACAACTGAGGTCTCTTAGAGCAGGGCTTCTCAACCACCAGGCCCCAAAGCACCTTTTGGTGGTCCACGAAAATTATATATTTTAATTTGCCACCATTCTGTTGATATCTTGTGTTAACTGCCATGTGTCGCAGGGCTACACACCCAAACAAAGCTGTGTTGAAAATTTCCCCCAAAAAAAGTTAACTTTGGTTTTCTTTAGGTCTTTCATGCTTTCTAGTGATTAACAGGTGGACCTCGAAATGAATAACGTTGAAAACAACTGTCTTACAGAACATCCCACAGTCAGTTTACATGTTTTGTTGATTGTCAGAGTGTAAATAAGTTACACAACCTCTACAGAAGACGCACTTCTGCACGTTTTAATGCACGATTACAAATTACTGACTGAATTTAACTCATACTTTATTTTCATTATTCATTAGTTAACTACATTTCACAGAAAGCATTTCTGTGTTCGCTGTAGAGGATGTTCCCTTGTTTTCGCTTAGAAAAATCAACAAATCATGCAAATCAGTGTGTTCAAACTTTTGCATAAGCTATTTTACAAATGTAAAAGCACCGCATACCGGACTCATCATCTTCATCATCGTCATCCTCATCATCGTCGTCGTCACTTTCTTCCTTGGCAGCAGTTTTTCCATTTTTTACTGCCTTTGCCGGGGCTGCTTTCTTCTGCACCACAGCTTTGGCTGGTGGCACCTACGAATGAGGCAGAAAAATAAATAAATAAATAAACAAACAAACAAACAAAAGATAATTTACAAAAAGTAATACTCAAAAAACAAAAATCTCACCTCTTCCTCATCCTCTTCACTGTCATCCTCCTCCTCACTGGACTCTTCAACCTCTTTGGGAGGTGGGGGAGCCTTTTTCTTGGGGGGCTCCTGTTTTTTTGCTGCCTGCAAAACATCAGGGACACCGCGATTAAGACTATCCGTCAGCTTATTCCATAAAACCTATTTGATGGAATTTTTTTCTTTATTATCGGACACCATTTCATTCATTATTCCATTTAACTTGCTCCATATTATCCTATACAATTCACCCGTCGCAAGCTTTATAACATCATGGCACATATTTTATTTTTAAGAGGTCTGAAAGTGAGAAATCTTAAACTGAAGTTGAAACAGAAAAAAGTTTGATAACAATAAATTATTATTATTGTGATTAGTATCTTTTTATTTGATTTTTCTATCTATATAATGCTCCAAAAAGCATATAATCATGATGCATAATTTCATCACAACACCTACAATCAGTCATACATCATTCTGCACTACTTACACATTACTTCAAACAATTAACGACATGCTATTCTAAGAAATATACGCCTTGCAATATGATCTATATAACCATGACATAACGTCACTCTAAGGAGTGTAGAATTCAGTCTTTACAGTTTATTCGGTAAATAAATATAAATAAGTGAAATCTAACATGATGGTCTCGTCCAAAGGCCACGTGTGAGGAGGACAAACCCCACGTGGGGAGCAGCAGCGGCCTCGTGCTAAAGCTAACGAAGCTAGGCTAAAGATAAGCTAACCGAGCTGAAGCAGCCCAGTTAACCGAACATCACGCCGAGGCCTCCGCTAGCCGACTATGCTAAGCTAACTGCAGCCTGCTAACAAGTTAGGCGCCTCTGCTGCACTAGAAACGTATAAATGTAAATAAACTAAAAACACTGCGCTTCCAAAACGACCCTGTAAACAAATAAACACAATAACAAATAACAAATATGCCGCGAAGTGACCGCTAAGGCTGGCCAGGCTCTCCGTTAGCTACCCAGGCTAACTAATCTTCCTGTTCTCCAGCGTCTTTTTCGAATTATCCGTTCCACCTTAAATCGTCCAGCAGTTACAGCCTGGCGCCACGGGCTCCACAACGAAACTGCCGCCACATTTAAGGTGGAACGGAAAATTCGAAGGCGACTTCACCGTCGTGTTATTCCGCCACGCTTTAGTCGACTTTTAAACATGGTTAAACACATTTTAACACATTTTGGACCCCTAATGGAGACATTTAAGCACGATAGCTATAAAAATAGACACACCGAGATAAATAATCGAGTTTAAGATCACGATTTTACCAAAAGTCGTATAACGGTGCAATCAGCGCACATATGGAGAAGGCCCGAAAACCTCCATTTTAAACACTGCACAAGATTTTCACTTATTTTATGAGAACACTGACACTCTGCATTAAAAACCGATACCACCAAAACACACCGAATTAAATCGGAAAGCATGAAAAAATACTGCATATTCCGTGAGCTGAGCTGTAAATGTTAAACTAAACTGGTTAACGTTAAGTTTTCTTAAGACCTCATTTTAGATCTAAGCAGGTTAAAGCATTTCTAACGTTCACAAAAATATGAAATGAAAGGATTACCTTCGCGAGCTTCACCATGGCTGGATGGTGTTTTTCCGAAACACGAGAATAAATCACTAAACTGTTGGAAAGTGAGTTTATTCGGAGCTTTTTTTCCCACGTGTTTCAACCTGCAGTCTCCTCAGCACTGAGGGGGAAATCCTACACCACGCCGCTTTTCTGCACCGCGGGATTTTTATTCCCACCAGTACTCGTACAAGTCCCGCCTCTACTGCGCAAAGATTGGCCAGCCGTTCAGCTTCACGGAGAGTATTGGCCAATCGCAGCGCAGGAGGGCTGGATTCTTCGGAATACGGGTAGAGCAAGAGAACGCTTCCCTCCCACCGAAACCCTGAATATATTTGCATAATAATTATTAGTGTAAATAAAAAAAGTAAAATACAAAAAAAAAAAAATACACAAAGTTAGAGTTTTAACGAATGAATCGTAGTTTTATAAACAGCTAATAATAAGAAGAATAACTTATTAAATTAACTATTTAGAATCCCACTATTCCAAAAATAAACTCACAAATCGTATAAAATAAAATGAGCAAAAATACAATCTAACAATAAAGCTGTAACAGTATAAGAGCAGCAAGAGTAGTAGTAATAATACATTTATTAAAACCTGATATCTTTTTTTTGACTCTTTTACATGTAAATATATGCATGGACATAGAAGTGATCACCTTATTTACATATAATCACCATCCTAAGGAAACAAGTATCTCCATTTATTTTATTTTTATTTTTATGTTATTACGTATTACAATGTAAAGCTGACTTTTACATTGTAATAGACTTAAGCGACAATTCACAGCAGATTGGGGCGGTTTGGGCTCCGTCTGAAACGGCCTTCTGCAATTCTCACGAATGGTCACACGATGGAGCCATTTCTCAGCTCATTCTCAGCTGGAGAATTATCACTGTGTAATGTCTTCCGAGTTTCTCAAACGCTAGAGGGCGCTCCCGAGCGAGTCCAAAATGAGTGGGTTAAGGTGGAGCATTTGAGCAAAATCATAGTTTATAAATGCTGAAACATTTTAATGTAAAAGAATACAATCATTTAGTTATAGAAGTTTAAAACGGCGCCTGAGAACTTGTAGAGAGGAGAATGTTCACCCTGCAATGTCTTCCAGGTTTCTCAAACACTAAAGGGCGCTCCCAAGCGAGTCCAAAATGAATGGGTTGATATGGAAGGCCTCATACGTTAGATTAACTACCAACATAATTAGGAAGTGACAGAGGAACCAACCAATCACACATTGATTTACAATAAATGATAAATGCGCTGCATTGTCATGTAAAATTATCTTAAATATAGTCAATAAATCAAAATATTTCTCCTGTTGAGCTTGTTTCGGTGCCAGTATAGTGAGACAATTTTACTTGATAAATTGACTTAAAACAAGTACAGAATGTCTAAATATAAACTAAATAGTTTTAATTTAAACTTAATTTAAACAAACTCAACAGGAGAAATATTAGATTTATTGACTATATTTTTACGATAATTGTACTTGACAAGAGACCACTTTTTGCAGTGTGGAACTAATAGGTATGAACCTCTGTTCATTTCACCAAAGGGAATTTTTTAAATAAAGCATTTTGTGACGATACAAGCACAGCAGCAAAGAGTACAGTGTAATTGCAAGCATTTTAATTTACCATGTAACAATGAAGATTTTTTTTCTGTTTTTACCCAATTTTCTCCCCAATTTAGTGTTTGCAAAATACCACAAACGAGCTTGGTGTCCTGCAATCTTACAACGCTACCAAGCTGGGAAGGTTAGGAACCAGACGTCCACCTCTAAAAGCTCCCTCACAGAAAATTAGTACGTTAAATGGTTATGAATTCACTGCCTGATGACTGAGACACTGTTTTTATGATAGTTTTGAGAATATTTTGGTCCCAAAACTATTTTTTAAACCCTTACATGGTGGAGGGATACATGCAGGGCGTTGTGAGGCAAAATAGTCCCTAAAGAAAACGTATTATTTTAGATTTTTAACATCAACAATCAACATTCCATATAAACTCAGAAGACTCGTGTAGGTTCACTGGTGGTTCTGGATAGTAAATAAAATGTCTATATTTGCGTGGTAGTCATGGCGACCCCTGGTTCCTATCAGAATCAGAATCACTTAGTTTCGCCAAGTATGTTACACATACAAGGAATTAGTCTGGGTGAGTCACACATGGATGACATGTTAACACACTGAACAGACCAGACAAAAACAACAGACTGTGATAAAATCACTGTAATGCACAGCCTCTTTTATAAATCGGTGGCCAACATAAAATATGATAAAACACACAATTTTCCAGAAAATAATTGTTTAAATAAAACTAAATATAATAAATAATCTAATATAAACTAAATAAATAATCGGCATAAACAAGTATTCTGCCAAGAAATGTAGTCCCTTTAGAGTATGGTATCGTTGCCAAGCAACCATGGACTGCTGAATGAGGAGAGCGATCGGTCACCCATTGATGTATATCGCGGTCATTTCATGAACTTTTTGTCGTATAATAATGACCATATGATATCACAGCACAGTTTAATACAAAAACCTTCACTTTATGAGCACTTTCTGGCCACCAAATCACCACAGCGAGTCTTATTTAGCACCAAGGTAATGGTGCCCGTCTTCTCACTCTGGGGCTGAATCTCAAACGGCTCCCTGCTCCCTACTTAGTGCACTACGTAGGAGTTTAAATACTGGATCCTGCAGCCCAACAGACAAAATACAGCTAAGAAACAGTGATTTGGGATTCAGACACATCCACACTCCATAAATGATGACGCACTGTTTGGCTGCAGAGGCTCTAATTTCTAAACCTCCCTAGCTAGAACACTATTTAGGGAGTACGGAGCCGTTTGGGATTCAGTCTGGGTTTGACGTGACTTCGGACTGAAACGAGGACATTTGAAGCAGGTAAAACATTCAGGTGACATTTTTTAGACTTTTATACTGCCGTTTTACAGTAAACCATATCGTGAGTCCTTTAATTCAAGCCTGTGATATTAATGATGGAGCTGTTTAGGCTGTTGGCTCTTTTAGCCTGTTAGCTTGCTGACCAGCCCAGTTCTAGATAAGAACATAAGTCGTCAGCCCCTCAGTTTAAACAAAAATCGGGTTCTTACTTCATCACTACACTCTGTGCTCCATGTGAGCAGCATTAGAGTCAGATATTGTTCCATTAACAGCAGAAGGGTTTTTCATGCCGTGGCGCAGTGATACAGAGTTCAGTTGTTGTGAAGAGGTCATAGGAGTGTGTATATCGTGGATTTACAATGGCTTTGAACGCAGCCCAGCCAGTCAGATTTCAGGACAGGAATTATCCGTTTTATAACAAATATTACACTAAGAGAAAGTAAAATTAAATACATTACATAAAATATAGAATAAAGAATAATAATAAGAACAGTCAGTGTGAAAGGAGCTCAGGAGATGTGTGTAAATCTGTACATATGCAGATATGAATGTTCTGTATGTATACAGGTCAAGAAGATATGTGCTATAAAATATATTATACAACTATTATATACAGAATATTACAGAGTGATACAGACATTTGTAACAATGTACTTTGTACAGTAGTGTAAATAAGCATAGTGCTACAGGAGGAGTTACTGTAACACAGTGAGGAGGTTTGATAAGTTATTGTAGTGTAAATACAGTGAAATACAGTGATACAGTGAGGAGGTCTGATGGTCAGTTTAAGTGTAAAATGTGAGTGTCCACTGTGGTTAATGAGCTACAGCTCTGGGGAAAAAGCTGTTAGCATGTCTGGCTGTGCTGGTTTTGATGGCCCTGAATCGTCTACCAGAGGGAAGAGGCGGGAAGAGTAGATGTCCAGGATGAGGGGTCAGCTGTAATTTTGATTGCCCTCACGATCTACAATCAATCATTTCACACCAAACCACCCTGAACCCCTCTGTTTGCACCTCAAACGTTTTTGAAAATGGGTGGAATTCCCCTTTAAGCACAGTCAGGATCCAAAAACAGCATGTGCATTAAAAGGCCAGAAGGTGGCAGCATTTGAACACAAACCAGCTAAAGCTGCGTCCTCCACCACCCCCGTCAGCACAAAGTGTTTAAACTCTTCAGGTGGAGATGAAGTTTAAATATAAATGCTGTTTATGTGTGAAATGTTTATTTCTAACACAGGTCCACTGCTCCACAGCCCAATGCTGGGCTAGAGGGGTATAAAGCCCCCCCAGCATTGGGCTGTGGAGCAGTGGACCTGTGTTTTCTGGAGTGATGGAGCTCCATCCAATACCTTTGGGATGAGTTGGAGTGATCCAGAACTGACCATCCAACATCAGTACCTGACCTCACTAATGCTCAGTCAAATCCTCACAGCAATGTTCAACATCAAAAGCCTTCCCAGAAGAGTAGAGGCTGTTACTGCAGCACAGACTCACTATTAACACCTTCATCTCTGAAGATAAGGTGGTGTCTACAGGCTTTTGAGCAGATGGTGTATGTGTAGACCTTTTTTACAGCTACCTCCCACTTTTATTTTCATTTATTAAATTAAAACGTGTCTAGTTTATCTGCTATTATTATGTCTTAAACAAGGTGATGCTCTCAGGTCACTCCATCTAACACTAACCTGAATGTTTACATTAGACCACCATGGCTCTTCAAGGGTTCTTCAGTAAAGAAAATGGTCCTATATAGAACCATGAACACTCAAAAAAACCCTTTGCATGATTAAAGGGTTCTTTGCATGGTGAAGGGGTTCTTCAGATTGAAGGAACCCTTAAAGAACCATAATTTTTTAACGTGTAGTTAAGATTTTTGGAGGATCTGATGTCGCAGGTTGCAGTGAGTTCTGTGTTACTTTCATTGAATAAAATTTTAATTTTAATTTTAGGACAAAAATGAAAAAATGAACTCATCTTTCCTGAGATTTCATCATGTTTAACATTAGATTCCTCCCTCTGGATGAACTGTAAACGTACCCAGCCCGAATTCATTAGCCTGTCACTTGGTGCCATAATGTGTTTTGTAGCGCTGCTGTCGGTACAAAACCTCATATCTCCAGAATGGTAACTCTACAGGAGAAGAAACAACCTACTTTACTTTTAATGAAAGTCAATGGAACCAGAATTTTTTTCCAAATCATTTTGGCTCATTTCTTTTAGTCCATTCATCATGAAATTTACAAACAGTATAAAAGGCAACAGTTATTTTGAAATTATGTGAAAATATTATGTGAAAAATTGAAAAACCACTTACCACTGGAAGCAGCCATGCTTCTGTTGACTAAACATACTTTTACTACCTAATAGTGTTGTAGTGAAGACCATTAGGGGCGAGTCTGACTCAGGACCAAGACTTTGTAGTAGTCGAGACCGAGTCAAGACTGGATTAAGATTTTTTATATATCATTATACCTGGTATATATCACTAAATAAAATTACATTTCATCATCTATTTTGTAAAATAAAACATTAAAAGCAATGCTATTAAAGCAATAACATTAAATAATACATAGCCTACAAATATTGCTAATTATTATTATAATACAGTCCTAGTCCAACTTTGCATTGTAACTTTTAGATTCAGTAAATGATGGTGAGGTTCGTTTTTGTTCTTCTCTAAAACTGCATAATCACCACCTAAAGTCAATATAAACCAAACAAGACATCCATTTTTATAAGTAAATGAAATGTTATTATAGTAATGATAACATTCTGATCTGTCCTCAGCAGATGTTTGAATTTTAGAACCAATGAACATCAGCAAACAAATAATCTCCAGTTAATCCATCACAGAAAGATCAATAAGATCCTCAACCAGCAGAACAGGTTTGATGTAAACATGTACAGTATCCACTATGAATTATTCAGTATCTACTATGAATTATTCAGTATCTACTATGAATTATTCAGTAAATATTATGAATTATTCAGTAGCTAGTATGAATTGTTCAGTATATACAATTAATTATTCAGCATCAACTATGAATTATTCAGTATCTACTATGAATTGTTCAGTATATACAATTAATTATTCAGCATCAACTATGAATTATTCAGTATCTACTATGAATTATTCAGTTTCTATTATCAATGATTCAGTATAAACTATGAATTATTCAGTATCTGCTATGAATAGATACTAAAGGGGTAAACACAAGCAGTATTCATTAATACAGTAGCATGCAAAAGTTTGTGCACCCCTGGTCAAATGTCACATTTCCGGTTCTCTACAGAGAACAAACTGTACATTTTAATGCACACTTACTGTTAATTTTCTGAGTTTAACATGAAAAATTAAATGTGACATTGTGTGTTTTATTTTTTTCCAAATACTTTAAAAGCAACAAATAAACAGAAATTGTGCACTAAAATACGCAGTACCTAAATTTGTTCCCTGATGAATTCATCTAAATATGTGAAGTGACCAGGTGCACCCTATCATTTGCGTGTATATTGTCATTTATGTGTATAGGTCACCTTATAGATCTGTGCTCTGTGAGATTATTCACAGATTCATGTTTAATCTCACATCTTTAATGATAATTCTCATTACTACCTCAAAACTGATGCTCAGAGGAGGATGGAGGGTGGGTTCCTCTTTAGGTTCCTCTCAGTGGTTGCTGCTTAAGCTCTCAGGGAGATTATTACATTTATTAGAATGAATTTTGAATCTCAGATGCACTTTAAAGCTGCATGATAGCACCAGTTCCTCAATACGTTTCTTCTGAAATGAAGGTGTAAATAGTGAGTTTGTGCTGCAGTAACAGCCTCTACTCCTCTGGGAAGGCTCTAAATGTTGAAACATTGCTGTGAGGATTTGATTGAGCATTAGTGAGGTCAGGTACTGATGTTGGATGGTCAGTTCTGGATCACTCCAACTCATCCCAAAGGTATTGGATGGAGCTCCATCACTCCAAAGAATGCAGCTCCACTGCTCCACAGCCCAATGCTGGGGGGGCTTTATACCCCTCTAGCCCACACTTGGTACTGGGCATGGGGGCCTTAAGCTCATGTGTGGCTGCTCCAGAGCCCCATTCTATTGGTCAGTGCTTTGCTGTGGAGATTAAATAAGCTGTTTCTGCAATGGGTGACCTTAAAGTAGCTGGATTCACACATTAGATGAGCTGTATGAATAGTTTTGGACCTACAGTCTAATATAAGTCTAATATCACATTTCTCCCATGTCCTGTAATTGAAATGTATCCTGGAAAATCATCTGCCTGGACGCAAATAGCTCAGTGGTGCCCCCTTGTGGTTCAAAATAAAACACCTTTGGCCCGTTTCCAGCGCTTTACAGCTTCAATCCTGATAGTTATAGAGAAATAACTGCTTTTAATAAACAGTAGTCAGCCTAAACGCATATTTATATGAGATAAAAATACAATGAGCCTGGCTTAGCTGTCGAAATCAACTCCTAAGAGGCAGATCATCGCTTACTTAGCCGATCTACTGTAAGAAATATTAGATTTGTTGAAAAATGTTGAGGAAACAACAAGCTTTGAGTGTTTTCAGCCCCAGAAATGGACATCAAAAGAGACGTCCTTAGTAAAGTCTTATCATATGGTCTATATTAAACCATATCAGGTTTCTTCTCTTGTTATCTCAGTGAGTTTTTAGCTAATCCTGCCGTCATGTTGCTTATTGCAATCATTTACAATGATTATTATGAAAAGCACTATGAGAATGATATTAAAATTTGATTTGTTTGAATGAAACAGCTGTATGACCATGTTATAGCTACATTTACATGCTGGAATATTGATTTACATGAGGACAATACAGGCTTATATGCCGTTTTCTTATTATGGCCCCTCATTAGCATTAGGTACACATGATGTAAACATTGTTTACAGCATTTTGGACCCAAGCAGCTTCAAACCGTGTCTCAACTGGCATGAAAGCACTGTAAAATGTACATACTCTAATTACTATGCATACAAATATAGGTATTTCTGATGCAGTGGGATGGAGTACAGAGCCAAAACCAATCAAATCTTCATGCGAACAAAGAGAATTCTTTTGTTTTATAAAATATATGCACGATTCTAATCAGTTATGCACGTTTTTTAATCATTTTTAAAACATTTACAACTATTTGAGACAAAAAAAGTTACAAACAGAGTTGACCTGCAGTTTTTTTTTTTTTGCATTCATTTCAAAATGTTACATAAATAAACTCATATTTATAAATATCTCTTTTTATAAACATATAAATAGCCTTTTTTTTTTAAAACATAAATACATTTATGCTGGAATGAAGTACATGAATGTACAGCAGCAGCGACAATATACAGCTTTGCGAGTTTTTCTTTTTTTACACCACTGTCCCCAATCTCGTGGAGTGTGTTGTCGTTTATACGTGTGGTTTTTTGTTGGTTTTTAATGATGTTCGTCCCCATAACGCTGGTCATGGCGCTTCTGTACCGTTAATCCGGCGCCTTTTAGGTTTTTTTCCCCCAAAAGAGGAACAACTAAGTCAATATTGTCCAAATCCAAACGGCGTCCTTTAATCACTCTGGAAGAGAGAGAGAGGAGAGCGCATGGTTAGATGAGATTCCTCACAGAACAGTGCAAAATCACAGCGTTCGGGCTCCTATAACACCAAGAATCAGACTCAAATAAGGACACTTTTCCAGCAAAACACAGAAAAAAGGCCACACTTTGGATTCACATCATGGCCACGTACATTACATCAGCACAGTTTTGTCTTCCAGTTTGCTCATATTTGGCAAAGACGCAATATATTTTATTTATGCAGAAATGATGCACATATTCGAATGAAGCAAATTCAATGCACTGCAGTGTTTCAGAGTAGAATCCTCGCTGGGTTTGGTGTGTAAACACAGTGTCACGTATAAAAAAAACCTTCTGAATCACTCCGCACTGCGAGGCGCCAAAAAAAGCCCCCGCCGTGATGTAATGGCCTGGTGTCTCTCCACTAAATACCCCGGTGCCCTCGAGCCACTCCGGCTAACTGCCTCTCTGCTGCCTCACCGCCTTCGCTTCTTTCATGTTTTGGCGTTTATGTGAGTCAGGTGGAGGATTTCCTGCCCGCTTCGTGCACCAAAGGCCAGCGGAAAGCCCTCTTAGCCGAAGGAAAAGCTACTTTCCTTGCTTGGCCCGGCTACTGTTGAGGCTTTTTAAGAAGAGAGGCAGAACACTGATCCTATATTAAAGCTGGATCAGATTAAAATTGACACGTGTAGCCTCTGCCTGTCATTTTCCTCATCAAAACTGTAATTTTCAGGCTCGTCCACTTTGTTTTCACCCACTTTCTCATGACGTAAGATCAGTTTTGAAAATAAAACACTGCAACCCCTTCATTAATAACGGAAAGTGATATGTTGTGCCTTATATCTGCTGCATTAATATGAATTACTCAGCAACCCCTATAAATTACTGAGTATATGCTATACATTTTTTTGTATCTCCTATGAATTATACAGCATCTACTATAAATTATTCAGTAACTACTATGTATTATTCAGTAACTACTATAAATTATTCAGTAACTACTATGAATTATGCATTAGCTACATTAAAACTAATGTATACATTCTGTATTATAGCTGTGATTGTCCCTTAGAGGTTTAGAGGTCAAAGCGCATTGCCACATGTATATAAGACTGAAAAACAATAGCAATAAATTAATGAATGCGCTGGCACCAACAGAAGAAGCCCCACCTACCATGAGAGGTTGCTTGCGGAGGGGTAGTGTGCGGGCTGGCAGCCCATGCCGCTGAGGGTGCCTATCCTGTCCATCTTGTGTCCGAAGCAGCCGCTGCGGGTGGTGCCGCCTGCTTTCTTCGAGCCTGTTTTTTGTCTGCGTGAGCCAGGCTGTTCGCTCATGATCTTCGCCCACACGCCCTTCGCCCGCGTGTCCACGCGCAGGTCCCTCAGGAGCCGGGCTCGGGCCGCCAGCGCCCGCTCAGCGTCCCCCGAAATCACCAGGTCGGCCAGCTCATCACCCAGAAGCTCCCTCAGCGTCTACAACACAGAGAAGAGCGGTCAGAAAACAGCAGCTCAGTAGAGGAGAGGTTATATTTTACCTTTATAGCTTCTACTAATATATGTTTGTGCTTTTGCTGCCTGTGTTAATAAAGGGTTAATAAAAGTTTCTATCTATCTTCTGCTGATATGTGAAGAGAAATCCCTTCTTCATCTTATTCCTGCCTGGCATATAAAGATTTTAATTCTGATTCTAAACACCAACTTTCAAGCTCCATCACCTAGAATTTGCCAAATCTTTGGTCTATGAATGAGATGAAGCTACAAACAGAGCAAATCAGTGCATAAGAGTGATTCTCTTAACATCTCAGTGTCTTTCCATTCCTGCTGGGCTCTAAAGAGTCACTAGATGAAGCACTTTCAGCCACAATAAGTCTGAATAAACTCTAAAAAAGACGCATTCTCATGAAGACACCACATCCACAAACTCTTCTAACAACAGGAAAGGGGTTAAACACAGAGAAGATCACACAGCTAAAAAAAAAAAGCCCTGAAAAGAATCATGTCGACACCTGCACCAAGAGAAGCTCCTGTACTTGGCAAAAAAATCCCCCAAAAAATCTAATTCTGATTCTTTTGTGCCTAACACAGCCTCGCTTTCTAAAGATTTCAGCCCCCACATTTGTGCCAAAACTCTTTTGTAGAGCTTCTAAAAAATGGATCCATTCAGAGTGGATCCAGCAGTGACATTTACATGTCAAAGGCATGTATTTTCCCTGCCCTGTAAAGACTGAAGGGTCCAACAGCAGCGTTCACTCCAAAGTGCCTAAATCTTTGCTCTGGCTAATGATGTTCATTGCGTAAAATGGTTACACCCCACATCCCTCCACTTAAAAGCAGCTAGTTATTATGATTTAAGTCCTACACGTGCTATTTAACCATATTAGAGGCCTAACTGAGTACCTGAGACGGCGTGCTGGGGAGCTAAAGCTCACAAAACGCGCGCAAATTCGCTGCGTAAAAGCGCCAAAGCAGGAGCGCGGCGAGTTTGCGATGCGCAACAGCCAAAGTGGCTTTAGGAAAGACTCCCACGCGCACCACGATGGCACCCGCGTGAAAAGTGTCTGGAGAAGCTCTGCGCGTCCTGGAGGAGGACAGAGGGCGCGCAGGGCGTCTCTAGAAGCGCGTTAACGCATCTACGCTTTTACGCAGTGGGTCTGAGTGTCTGTACGCGAGTCCTCACCTCGTGCTGTGTCTGAGTGGCCGGTCTGCTCTCCGCGGTGATGACCAGCAGCGCCACCAGCAGCCCAAACGCAGCCCAGTGCGCCATCACGAACCTCTGAGACGGACAGAAAAAGACAGAAATGCGCAGAACGGAGTTCGGAGGGTCGAAGCTCTCAGCGCTTCAGCTCTCAGTGCAAAAGCCGCGGTTCTTCGAAGGCTTTAAGGCTCGCACTGCTCTCTGCCACTCGGCGCTCTGCGCGTGCTCTTATAGCGCACCGAGCATGACGTCATGAGAACCTGCGCTCGTGCGTGCGTAATGCTTCCCCTCCGTCCCTATCCATCCCTCCTTTCGCTCCCTCCCTCCATCTCACACACTCCCACTCCTTCCCACACACACACACACACACACCCACACACACACACACACCCACACACACACACACACACACACTCACTCTCTCTCTCTCTCTCTCTCTCTCTGTCCCTCTCCCTCTTTCTATCTCTCTCTCGCACACACACTCTTTCTCTCTTTCACTCATTCTTCCCCCTCCCACACTTTCTCTTTTCTTTCTTTCCCATCTCTCCTTCCATCTCTCTTTCTTCCTTTCAATTTTTTATCCCTCCATTTTTCTCCCAGTCTTTTTCATCTGTCCTTCCTTCTCTCTCTCTCTCTCTCTCTCTCTCTCTATTTTTACTTCTCTCTCTTTCCCTTTCATCTTTGCATCACACTCTCCCTCCATACCACATCTCTCTCTCTCTCTCTCTCTGTCTCTCTCTCTCTGTCTCTCTCTCTTTCCCCTTCTCTTCTCTCATTATTCACCTTCCCTTTCCTGCCTCTCTCTTGTCTCTTTCTGTTGTTCACTTTTCATCCCTCCTTTTTTCTCCCAGTTGTTGACATCTGTCCTTGCTTCTCTCTCTTTTCTCTCTATCTCTCTCTCCCCTTCCCTTACCCTCTCTTCTGTTGCCCATTTTCATCCTTCTTTCTCTCTTTCTCTTTCATCTCTGTATCACACTCTCCCTCCATACCTCCTCTCTCTCTCTCTTCGTCCTCCTCTTTCTTTCCCCCTTCATCCCTCCTTTCCTCCCTCTCTCTCCATCTCTCTTGCCCCCCCACCTGTATGTGCGTCAGTCTGTGATTATTCTCTGTCGTTCTTTCTGATCAATATTCTCTTCCTGAGCTGATCAAAGGATGGAGAGAGTGAGTGTAGAGGGGGAGACGGAGGGAGCGGCTGTAGTTTAGAGTTTCTAACAGACAGACAGACTTTTCCTTCCTCAGAATCACAGACAGACAGTAACATGACATCATCGACTCACTCGCTGCTGACGGGTGTAATGTGGCACCAAGTAAAAGTAGTTCTGCAATCAACCAATCAGTCAATTGATCAATCAATCAAAAAAACTGGCAGAGACCCTCATTTATGACTTAAGTCGAGCCAAGGCAGACATCAGAGATGAAAGAAAAAAACTGGATTGTAAAAACACATCACATGCTAAAAAATGTGATAATAATAATCATAATAGTAAATTTAATAGCAAAAACCCCCCCAATAAACCATTAAAATAGCAACGATATAAAAACTTAATAAATAGCAGATCAAATAGGGATAAAATAAATAAAAAAAAACAAAAAGTTAATGAAATAAATAACGGAATAGAAGATGCAAAACAGTAACTTGACACTAAGAAGTAAAAATTGATAATAAAATAAATAAAAAGATGTAATAAAAATGACACAATAACTAAAACATACCAAAATGATTAATTTTTAAAAGTTATTAAAATGAAAACTGAGTGTCAGACTGAGTGGAGGTGGTTAGAGACCAAGAGTTTAAAATGGTCATGTGACCCCAGAGAGTGAAGCATTAGAGCCCGTGTGTCAAGCGAGTCAGGCCTGTGGCACAATCCCATTCAGCCCACAAAATTATTTTAATTTAATATTCTTAATAGCCTGTTTCACCCTGAGATGCACTACAGTCCCCAGCATGCACTGCAACATGGTATGCATTCTGACCCCTTTCGCCCAACAAACATCTCTGGGTTGGCGGTTACACAGAAAGAAAAGATGTCTGGTGTCCAGTTCAAGCAAATATGCAGTTTTTAAAAAAAAAAACTACATAAAACTATTTATTTTTATTTAGAATTATTGGTAACACTTTCTATGAATGTCACCTTTGTAAGCATCTATAAACACATTCATAACATGTTATAATGCATTCATAAGGCATTATAAACATGGCTATAAATATTTATAAAAATGCATTACACATTATAGCCATGTTTATTATGCATTATGAATTGTTAAGATAATATAAGTACTATTCATAACAAATTATAAGAGCTCATAAGTCGTATTTGTCCGCTCTAAGTAAAGTGAAGCGTACTGTACTAAAGCCTCCTCCAGTGTTCAGAGTGAGGCTTCAAGTTGAAGTGTTTACTGAAGGATTTACTGAAACACTAAAACATTCACAGTAAAGCACATTACAGGCTTCAAATGTTAGAGTTTAAACTAGAGCTGCCATCAGTGTTTTACCCAATGTGGGAAAGGTAATGTTCACCACCGTTAGCTTGGCATTTGTCTTTACTTTACGCTCTCCAAGCTGGGACTGACTTCTTTGGCACTGACAGTATAACATGTTATCAACACTACTTATAATGCATTATATTAACAATTCATAATGTATAATAAACATGGCTATAAAGTGTAATTCAGTGTAATTCATTTTAATAAATGTTTATAGTCATGTTTATAATGCTGTATGAAGCCATTATAACATGTTATAAATGTGTTTATAGATGCTTACAATTGTGACATTCATAGAAAGTGTTACTGAATTATTTCTGAATATGTGTTTATTGCCTATTTTGCTGTTGCAGTTTTTGGTATATTTTGTTTATATAAACAATGTCCAGTTGGGGTCGTGGCAAAATGTTGAGTAGAAATGAAATAAAAACACACAGATCTGCTGAGATTTTTAATATGACCCTTTCAGTGGTTGAGTTTGAGTTTGACTCTCCTGATTTGGGGTTTCCTGTAGTGAATTCCAGCTCACTGGTGCTGCAGCTAAAGCAGATTCTCCCAGTTCAGTAAAAGCACCTGAAGCCTCGTCCACTGGAACGAGTCTGATAAACTGCATCATTTACACCGAGCGTTTTTCGTGATGTGCGAGGGCAAACGCTCAGTAGGAGCTTTATAGGTAAAGAGAAGCCAATGAAGCAACATAGGGGTGCACAACTCCGGTCGTGGAGGGCCGGTGTCCAGCACATTTTGGTGATTTACCTGCTCCGACACACCTGACCACACTTATCTGTTAATTGCCAGGTTTAGTGGGTGTGTTTGAGAGAGGAAACCTCCAAACTGTGCTGGACACCGGCTCTCCAGGACCGGAGTTGTGCACCCCTTAAGTAACACATTACAGTCTGTATGAATTATTTGACTTTTGGTTGACCTTTACTGTCTTTTAGGCCGTTTTCATACCTGAAGGTCTCGGCATTCATACATTGAAATTTGAATTTTTCTTGCTCCATTAATAAAGTTTGGTTAGCCTAATTTAAATTTTATCTTTAGAATTCAGATTGTAGTATTACTTATAGAGTGACCTTAGTAACTGTATAAATTTGTGGCACTGCATACTTTGTGTTATGAACCTAACATGTTTATTCTTAAGGGTGGGGGTGTTACGACCCCTGGTCATAATATACCCTTTGTGTGCCTTGTGCTGGCATTCTGTTTTCCCTGCTGTGTGTCCCCTTATGTGCAGGTACAGGATTGGCCAGACGGGGGCGCCCAGAGGTATAAGAGGTCACCGAGCCACTGTCTTGGGAGACGTTCAGGGCTCTCTCCCCTCTGACTCGACCTGGAAGAACACCTGTCCAGACCAGCCCGGCACTCTTCACTTCTGTCTGCCTCGCTTTGCTGCTGTTGTTAAAACTGCGACTGTTTGCGCTTTGAGAGCTTGGGGGAAGTTGGGGACGGGTGCCATGCTTTGGTTACCGTTTCTCCTGTTTAAGGTGGGGAGTTGGGGCACCTGTATGTCTTTTGTGTCTTTTGTTCAGCCTTTTTCGTCAGACCAAATTACAGCTGAATATTTGATCTCTGCCCCGTGACCCACCGCCCCTCACTGTTACTCTCTACTGGTTCTTTTTCTTCTTTTATTGTTTAATGGCCGATGACAGCTGCCTCTGAGTCTGAACCATCCGATACGGTTTACACTGCAAATGAACTGAACCACTTCAGTTTGATCCGGGCCGAGACTGCCTCTTTTGGTCGGACCAAATTTTGGTCCTTTGGTCCGAGGCACCTTTCACGGCTGCTTTTATGGTATGAAAAGTCCGAAAGGCTGGACCAAACAGTGTAGGTGTGACATGGAGCTATATTAATTAGATGCATTAAAAACATAAACATCCTCTGTATAAATTGTCCAAAACAAGGCTGTAAAAAATGGCTCATCAGATGAACCTAAAAAAAAAAAAAATAGTTTTATTCAAATCAAAAGAATCGTTCATTCACAGTATTTATTTAGGTTGAAAAAACTAGTTAATTTACTTGTTACTGCATGAAGTCATTCATTTAGGTTGAATTGATGCAACATTTTTTAGTGTAACAGTGAAAAACTTTCGTTTTGTTCCCACCACGAGTAAAACAGCTGTTTAGATTTTCTCATAATGGCCCCCGAGCACACGCCCTTTAAACCCATTGGATGATCCAGGCCTAAATGGTCCGGCCCCTGAGAGCTTATCCCTCCCCTTTATGCACTGTATAAAATGGTGCATCAATTCAACCTAAAAAAATGCTAGTTTAATTGCACATAATCTACACGTCTTTCCTAACTGTCTGATTCTTTTCTCCTCCAGCCACTGCTTAGCAACCGTTCCACTGTCCATCACTACTTCGGTCAAGCTTTCAGGGGTTTCAGCGGTCAGCTAGCGCTCCTGTGATCAGGTGTTTTAAAAGAAGTCATTTTAAGCAGCATGTACGAGAGGTGAACGATGACGTCATCCTAAATTATTTGTCTTTTTTCCATTCGCATTTTTCGATACTTTACGTCAAACAGAACGTCATGCTGCACTATAACGAGGCGAGAGATGACAACATATACACATAACTGACACATCAGACGGCTGACGCTCATCCTCTCTCTGATCTCTCATTCTGGACCAACTTTACGCAAATTAACGAAGTGGTGACCAATCAGATTGCTGATATGTGGTGTATGTGATGCTGGAGC